ATTAGGTGTTTACACTTACTCCATATCGAACCATTACAAATTACTTATTCATAATTTATTGTCAATTGTCCTGTTGTCCCAATTCAATTATTAGGGATTTTAGTCAAAATGTAAAAATTAGGTTTTTTACTTTTAAACCAAGACAGCTGAATAGAGGTTGAAAACCCGAGTCCAACGGTACCTCAATGAAGTCTGTATGTCAATTCTAAGCGGAGATATTCACATTTCAGTGACGGAAAGTTGCCCCAAAAATTTATAATGGAAAACACAGAAACAAGATGGCGGCGTGTTCCCAAGTGAAAACTGGACCTAAATTTATCATGTTTAATGTCAATAACTCTCAAGTTTTTTGCTGAACCCCTTAGCAACCATATGTCATTGCTTTCAGGACAGCAGGCTCTGACTTAAGTTGTTGCTTTTAAAAAAAAATGATGTGATGCAAACCTAAATAACATAAAAATGAGTTTGTTTATCAGGATTGATAACCTTATTTATGAATTAAATTAATGATTATTATCCAGTGAGTCTTCCAAGACATATACTGTAATATGCATACTTTTGTAACTATTCTTCTTGTTATGATGCATCTCTTCCTATTTGTTTAAAAATGCTTTTTCTTGCACTCTCAATTGTGTGTGTGTGTGTGTAGTGTGTATACATCTGACCAAAATTTGCTCTATTCCACTGTTAAAAAATGTTCAATAGCGAGTGGATTGACTTCACTGCATCGTTACTGGTTTCATATGGCTTGGTCTTTCTCCACATAACCATGAACGACTAGCCGCATGCCGAGACCTTAGCAGTAAGCCTGAATACCGTAGCTCCAGCAACAGCCTCCAGGGGTCCCTGTTAACCCAAACAAAATGTATTTTTGAGACGAACAAAGCAGTTGTAAAATAAACTCACCGCAACCTTCCGAGCACGAGGTTAATGGCTTGACCACTTTTCTACAGAGACCCCCAATATTGTTTGATAACCAAGTGAAAATATGCACCCTTTTTACTGATTTAACATAATCCCTTCTTCAGTCTTTGCGAGTTATTCTTTAATTTTATTGATGATGAGCGCATTTTACCACAGTGTTTCCCTCTTCTTCTTAACTAACACTGCTGGATATTTTATTTACTAGTTCAAAATAATCTAAGGTAACTGCTCATAAATGATTTGTGATTCAGTGCTATGTTTTCATGGAGTAAAATTATTAAATAAGCTCCTTTGTGATTCGCTTTGGATTTATGTTGTGTTTTCATGGAGCAGCATTTCATAAGGTAAGAGGAAAAAAACATTATATATATTTTATTAACGTATCTATGTCCCATGTGATCTGTTTGCTAGCTAGTATATATTAGTATATTTAGAAAATAATTATTAAATATTAATAATCATAAGTTGTAACTAGCCTTGGCTGTAAGTAAGTAAACTTATGCACAGTTAAACAAATTATAATTTATTATTAATTTTATTAATCGTCAACTTTCTAAATAAGCATCTATAAATCAATACTAATACTATAATTTTAAAACTAATAGTATCAGTCATAAATAGTAACTGTTATTCATACTATCTAAGACAATAAAAATGCACCACAAAATCAGTGCAGAAATGTGTGGCAGACATTTTTTAAAATGTCAGTCTAGGTTTGATTGAGGGGGGGGGGGGATGTCAACAGGTAAAAAGGCTTTAAAAAGGAACTATGATTCATGCCAAATGATAGATTATGGCTTAAAAAATGCTATAATGGCTAAAGATTCGAAAAATGATTTTAAAACTACAATAATGTGATTTAAAAGTATAATAAAAAATGTTTAAACCACTGTCTGCGTCCAAAATGTCAGTCTGGGTGCGGAGAGTGGGGGTCAACAGGTAAAAAGGCTTTAAACAGGAACTATGATTCATGCCAAATGATAGGTTATGGCTTAAAAAATGCTATAATGGCTAAAGATTCGAAAAATGATTTAAAAACTAAAATAATGTGATTTAAAAGTATAATAAAAAATGTTTAAACCACTGTCTGCGTCCAAAATGTCAGTCTGGGTGCGGAGAGTGGGGGTCAACAGGTAAAAAGGCTTTAAACAGGAACTATGATTCATGCCAAATGATAGGTTATGGCTTAAAAAATGCTATAATGGCTAAAGATTCCCAAAATGATTTAAAAACTACAATAATGTGATTTTAAAGTATATTTAAAAATGTTCAAACCAATGTCTGTGTCCATTTTCAACGCAAAATACCCTAGAAAATAGTCTATGTTAAAAACGTGCTAAAACATTATTTTCAAGTATTTAAAATTATTAAAACTCATGTGAAATTAAAGTTAAAGAAAGGTAAATTATAAATACGATAAAAAATTGCCTTATTTTTGAACTGTTTAAAAAAAAAACCTAGATTAATTAATCTGAGATAAACAGTTCGTTTAGGCCACGCGGTAGCCATTTTGAGAAATCGCCGATTTAGCTGTCAAGAAGTGACTGGGAAGAAATTTAAATTTTATATTCTATGATGTACAGATTCCAACAAAACTACCCATATTTATGTAAAAATGGACACAGAATCCAAAAATGTCAACTAAAAGTATATAAATTCACTTTAAAAAGGAGATATTAAAGAAATTTAATTCCCGCATAGCAAATAGTGAAATTTATTTGGCTGAACAAAGATCGCTATGTAAGTTAGGTGTCGTTTGGTTGAGCATCCTCTTCTGAATAACTTTGAGCCCACGTATTCGATTCTGAGCAGCCAGTATTGAGCGACAGGATTTCAAAGTAACTGATAGGCAAAGAAGCCATTTTTCGTGGACCACCGACGCCATCTTGTAACTAAGCGATCTCTACTTTCGTTTTTAAGTGGGTCACTTGAATGATCGTAATCCCTACAATTATAATTATTATATGTTGCACAGGGCTCGCAGCTGATTTCGCCATTCCGTTTATCAATCCTGTGCAATCACTGAGTCAATTTAATGATGGAATCCAAAAGAATAATTATATTAATTAATAGTATGAAGTAAAGTTTGGAACCAGCGGACAGATTACTGAGATTTTTTGGCTCTACTGGCAAATCCGGACGAAGAATAAACAGACTTGGACGACTTAGTCAGTTATCTTCCGTCGCCGCACTCCGAACAGTAATCGGAAAACAAACGAAACAAACGACACACTTACCTATCATCCTGCGGTTGCGTGTAGGGCTGCGTACGGTTGCGTGAGACATCGTGGCATCATCATATGGTTGCGCGTACGGTTGCGTGAGGCACTGTGAATGGTTGTGTAGTCATCATCATGCGGTTGTTGGATTAGAGTTAGGGGTAGGGTTAGGGGTACGGGTAGGGTTAGGGTTAGATGTGAAAATTTTGACGTAGGATTTCGAAATACTGGCCGACAATATGTTTGTGGGAGTGGCGCCACTGAAACTCTGCCAAATATGACGCCAATAGCGTGCGGCTGGTGCCCCCAATCGTTGGCGAATTGTGCGTGTGACCAGCATCCAGAGGCCCTCGATTGTTTGTGTGTGTGTATGGGACTGTGCGCGATTATAGGGAACTCCGGCGTCAAAATTGTCAAATCTAACGCTAACCCTACCGCTAATCCTAATCCTACTCCCTAACCCTAACCCCTACCCCCCTAACCACGCAAATTTATCGATCATTAAAGCATACAAATCGGCAAACACGAACAAACAAAACACACCCAAAAAAAAAAAAACACCCAGAATTGTCCTGCAGCGTCGAAAAAAACCCAGATCTGGGGGGAAACAACCAAGCATTGGCAGCCCTGAGTCGACGTGACTGTCTTCTTTGTTTCGTTGTGGTTTTTCCGATCACTGTTTGGAGTGCGGCGATGGGAGATAACTCTGACTAAGTCGTCCAAGGCTGTTTATTCTTCGTCCGGATTTGCCAGTAGAGCCGATTTTTTTTTATACATCACACCTTAAACTTAAACCGACATATTAGTAAGAAATGTAGGAATGTAGGCATAATGCCGGGGTAGAAGTTCGGAGGAGAGCCGAAATGTACATTACATTATTATAGTATAAGTATAAGCAATGATGTCAGACCTAGGAACGGGAACGAAAATTAAAGTAATGTCAGTGAATTACTCTTTCCTGATGACCAGGCTTTGATTGCAGCTACAGCCATGAACTTGCAATTATCAGCTTCTCACATTCATGAATGAAGAATTTGAATCAAATATTAACATGAGAATCATTGAAAAGATGGAATGAGAAGTAATGTCAGTGGGAAGAAACAAGCATCCTTTTAACATAGCATTAGAGCATACATATATTAAACAGGTGTCTGAATTTAAATATCTTGGAACGCCAATCACTGAAGATGGTAAATAAGATTAGGAAACTCACATTCGATGCAGTAAAGCTGGCCAAGTATTGGGACAGCTAGCCCCCTCCCCCTTTCCTAACAGTAACAGCATAAGGCAATCCCAATCAGCACAAAGAGACATTTCTTACAAAGCAAATTCATTCCCACCCTATGCTACCATTGCATACGTCGTCACTTACAACTCAAAAGAAAATTAGTAACTATGGAAATGAGGTGTCTCTGAGAAAGGCTGTAGGAGTGACCAGAAGAAATAAAATTAGGAATAAGGCTGCGAGATAAAGTCGGCACAGAACCAATTCTAAAAGACAGCAAATCAAATGGTTTGCCCACTTAGAGAGAATGCCCTTTGACGCAATACCATTCAAGGCATTTATATACAAAAAGAGGAGATGGACGTAGAGCAAGAGGTAGACCAAGAACCGAATGGAAGGATACTATCAGAGAAACTCCACAGTACCATGACGTGTCTTTGGTTGGAGCAGCCAGAAAGCACGAAGCAGGACCAAACATCTCTCTCAGCACCCGAAGGAGTAAAAGAGGACATAAAGAATATTTGCTTTGTCAAGATTTAATTTCAATTTCTTGCATTATAAATAATTATATTATTATTAAGTCATAGCTGGTTCTGATGTCTTTTTCATTTTATAATTTTGTTGAAATGTAGGAAAGCCTATGGGATTGCACACAGCTCGAAAGCTGAAAGACCACCGCCGTGAACAAAGGTGGCATGATAAAGATTACAAGAAAGCTCACTTGGGGACCAGATGGAAGGCCAATCCATTCCAGGGATCCTCTCATGCTAAGGGCATTGTGTTGGAAAAAGTGTAAGTCAATGAACTTCAACTTTAAGAATATTGTTTTCTTGATTTGCAGCTCTAAGTTCAGTATAGCAAACATCGCTTCAGAGGTCCCGGGTAGGTAACACAGTTTGGATATTTTCTCCAGTGATGTCGGTGTGTTGGGAAACAGACAGATTAGACTGGCTGTTTCTGCACCATTTTGTGATGAATTGTTGCAGGACAGCTAGATTTGATAAGTGTCCTTTGTGAGTGAGTAAACAGTGCAAAGGCACAAATAAAAAAGGTAAAGTCAGGAGATGTGAACCAGCCTGGTTATAAACTATAACGTGCTCTGCCACCAGTACGGATAGCTGATAAGAAGCTGTATGCCTGTGTCGCTGTCCGCACGCAACTACTGTAACGACAGTATAGTCCATTTACCCAAATACATCATAGTCTGAGGAGGGACCAGGGGATCTAGGCGATGCTCAACACTTAAGGGAAAGGCAAGAGGATGTACAATCAGACTGTTAGGGCTGCCATCAGAATTAACACTGCTGAAGATGGGGACAGAACACTTATGGGAATGTCCTGAGTGCTGTGATGTTGATTCTAATCTTTCAAAATTCAGCCATGCCTCAAAAGGCCAACGTTTAGATACAGATCGAGTAAGATAATAGAAATCTGTTCAACTATATAAAAATTTATACTAGAGCACCTGATTGTCATTGCTTTTTAGACCCCATGTTATGCGTGAACAGTCCTCGGATGCAGCACTTACTCCAATGAACCTCTACTGGTTGTTCCTGTGAGAGGTTGGTTATAGTGTCACTTATCTCAAACTTCGAAGGCGGCATGGATGACGAGCTTCACCGTGCTCTGCTCTCATTTCAGCAGTCATGATAAATGTCAGAGATTCTCTGTGCTCTGCTCTCATTTCAGCAGTCATTTTAAATGTCAGAGATTCATCGTCATCTCCACTTGCCAAGTCTATACAGCAGTGATGGTATCTGCTGTGTCTGCTTTTCCCTGTATGCATTAGTGCACTTTTTGCTAGTTTGTTCGCTTGCTCATTACCCTTTTTTTTACGCCATGTGACCCCACTACAGTGATTACAGTGTCCCACTATGTTCTATGCCATGAAATTATCCAACATCTATCTTGGTCTCTCTTAACTCCTCTTCCCCTCCAACTTTCCCACTATTATGACCTGCTCAGTTTTTCCCCTTTTATGTATCCAAGGAATAGGAATAGACCTTCTGATTCAAATGTTTTTTTTTTATTATTGTCCATGGCGTTGGTAGTCATATCTATCCAGAACCTTCTGTCTCAAGAACTTTCAGTCAGTTCTGACACAGGTGATCGCCTATGCCATTATGTCAAATCGTTCAACGGCTTCCTCTGCTTCCTTTCCCCTCTATCTTTCCCACTGTCACGGTGTACTCGTTTTCTCCCTCTCTTGAGACCAAAGTAAGGAACTGCATTTGATCAGTTCTTTTGTGAGTTAATTTACTGAGGCAAAACTATTCAACTCTTAGCATTATGAGGTGTCTGCTTATCGTGCCTGTGTCTAGTTCTCTAACAAAAAAGTTTGTATTATTCATAAATGATAATTGTGCTACTTATGCAATTCTTTGCCGAGTTGTTTTTCCTCACTCATCTTTCTTAAAAACCCAAGAAATGATTCTTCTGACTAGAAATCCCCTTTTTTAAATAAGAGAAGAGCTTGCCAAGAAAAATTGCCGGGATAAGCAAATTGTTCCTTATAACAGATATTCACCACACCAGAGATCTTCTTAAAGATGTCTGCGTTGTGTGAAGATGCTTCTTGTGTATTAGATGATACTATGGTAGTATTAGCAGTTTATTGGTGTATATGCAGTGATTTGCTATCATTTTGGACATTTCATAATGCTTCCCAAAACTAAGAAATCAAAAATTTTATATTGATCCACTTTTCTTTATAGTGGTGTTGAAGCCAAACAGCCAAACTCTGCCATCAGAAAGTGTGTGAGAGTCCAGCTTATCAAGAATGGCAAGAAGATTACAGCCTTCGTACCCAACGATGGTTGTCTGAACTTCATTGAGGTAAGTACACTAACTTTGTCAGTTTCCTCTTCATGTTACTGTTGACATGTATGGCATTAACAAGTGATCTCCATTGCCGTTCTTCTGCTTATGACATCACATTTAGACAAGGGATACATATATCAGTAGGCTACGTCATGCCAAACGAAATCAACGTGAAAGGCTACCCCAGTGAACAAATGATAAAGTCACAGCTATTCTGTAAACTGACACAAAGCAAATTACATCACCCAGATAAACAATAAGGAAGAAAGGACCACTTATGCATGTTGCACACATTAAATGTCTCCCTGCAACTAAATTATAAAGAACATACTAAATATGTTAATGCCCTGAATGACTGGCAAGAGGAAGACACAGAAATAAGTGCCTTTATGGCCTGTCTGTACCGATGGGGTGGGAGGAGCACTGACCTGATTCATTTTTTGCTATAATCGTTTTGGGAGATCAGACATGGCCGTCTGCTTATTGGCATGGTGCATGATGATGAAACTAATTTTCAAAACTAGAAAGTATATTTGGCTGCATTTTGAAGAATCAAAAATAGACCCACCACCTCCTTCCATTAACAAGCAAGTTGTAGAAGAGGACGCTCAACACTCAGAAGAAGAATGAGATGGATATACAATCAGACGGTTACTGGTACCATCGGAATTGGAACTTTTATTCGCTTGCTGATGAAGATGAGGACTGAGGACTTATGGGAGTGATGTGATGTTGATTCTTTATTGAACATTCAACATTTAGAAGACGACTAGTTAGGGAAATTGCTTTAAAAGTTTTATTTGTCTTAGGGGCAAGGAATCCACAGTTGCATACAAATAAGCCACTGAGCGCTAAGAAGATAAGAACCCATACAAAACTGATTATACCATGCATGTTTCTAGATAATGTTGGAGACATTTATGTGCAGTGAATGATATCCAGTGTTATTTTTGGGTTTTATAAGATTTTGTATTTATCATTCACAGGAGAATGACGAAGTTTTGGTAGCTGGTTTCGGCCGTAAAGGACACGCCGTTGGTGATATTCCTGGTGTCCGCTTCAAGATTGTCAAAGTTGCCAATGTCTCTCTTCTTGCTCTGTTCAAAGGAAAGAAGGAGCGACCAAGATCTTAATCTGCTGAAATAAAATTGTATGATCTGAATTTGTTGGTTGGTTTGATTTCATCTCGTTTAACTCTTTCCTGTACCTTGTGATTTTGAGAGGTATTCATTTTGAGAGTACCTGAATGAAAGAATAAATCACTGACATCACTGCATTTGGGAACATTCCCACATGTGCTCTATCTTCTACATTAGCCTGTGAAGAGTTAACATGCTTATCATACCAGTTGACATCTGATAAAAATGTCCACCTCTGTTCCTCCCTCGTTTTATATGACCCTGAAACTTTGATCACAGCTGAGATGAAGCCTTATTACAAATTTTCGAAAATAGTATTGCGACAAATTAATGGACCCATTAAAGATGCAAACAGCTGGGAAGGAGAGAGAGAAGCAACAACAAAATTCATAATCTGTTTAAATCACCATTAATCACTGGCATAAGACTGAAATCGCTTGGGGATATTGAGAGAAATCAGATGACAGATGTAAAAACACAAGTTGAATGGTCATAGATCAAGAAGATGATGGAGAGATGACGTCCAGACAGACTTGCAAACACTTGGTGTCACCAAGTGGAAAGAGAAGGCCAACCAATGAGATAAGTCGGGGTGAGTGATAACTGCATCAATGAACCTCAAGGGGTTCAGAATTTTGAAGAAGGGACGAGTTTTTCCCTCTGTGTTAGCTATCTTCCAGAATCTCTATTCACATCAAGCTGAATTAGTGTTTATGGATTCTCTGCCTGTTCTATTTCACTGTCCATTTGATCTAAGGTAGTGTGGACCACATCTATTTAATTGAAAAGAAGCTAACCGTTATGAAGAGCAGCAGCATCTAATCTATCTGCTTTTTCTTCTGCCTTTCTAACCTCAACCAGCTCATGCCAAGTCATTTGCATGCAGGAGGCCCCATGTGCTCCCCGTCTTTTTAACTTTTTTTTAGGGGGCCCCTTTATTTTTGTGGGTTCCAGTGCAAAAATATTCTAGTTTATTGTTCTCATATTATCCAAGGTCAGTGTCATTTCTTCACTTCTTGGTCCACGATGTGCCTATGGCCGAGGCAGCTAGAAACAGAACCTTATATCTCCCTCGACACCCACAGCGGTAAAAGAAGAAGATTTAATTCCCCCTATTCTGCGCGGTCACCATCAGCTTGCTTATTGCCCTGCTCAAGTGAATATCACAGGCAGACATTTTTTTAGAGAGTACCTTCTATATAGGAGCTATATTAGTGTATTGGCTAGACACTCACCTTCTATCAGTCTGAAGTTCGTTTCAAATCTATGTCCGATCCAAGTTTATGAGTCCTGGGAACTAAATGCATTTGACATTATGTTGGCCACATTTGTTTACCAATTGGTGCCGAAGGACTTAGGGACAATGCATCTGAAGATTTAAGTCCGTCTGGGTAATGCAGTCACCACCATCTGTTTCAGTTAGTATTATTGATTTTGGCCTGCCCAAGAAAAATCTCTTTGACATGGATCAAATCCGGGACTCCATCATGAGAGCTGAGTGTTTTAACCAATGACACCAGCTGCTCTGTGACATAAATCACTTGACTACTGCTGGCATTATTAATTAGACTGCTGGGATAAGTTAGGCCTTTTCGCTTTACTTGCTTTTGGCGATTCCCACTCACATCATTACATGGTCGGTCTCTTTTTCAAGATTTGTTTAGCTCATAAGTAAATTTACTTTCTGTGGGTTTTTCTCTTGAGATAATACATATAAAAGCTGCTTTCAAGTAGTTTTGTGCCAATTAGGATCAACTGTTATTCAAACTGAGATTCAGCCTGCCTAGGATGTTGAACCTGGAAAGGCCGCAAATGCTTATTGTCTGCACTGAAATTAACCGGCAGCAGGGGGTATAGTGATTTCTACCATAGGTGTAGGGAAGTGAAGTGTTTCTGTGATATTCTGTACATCACTAAGGGATGTAAGTTTAACCCCACCAGGACATCACATAAGTGATAAACACCCGGTGACACAAAGTGCCACCATGCAGATGATATCACCGGTGGAGAGGTCACAGAAACCCCTGTCAGTGGTTAGACTATATTCAGGGCCTCTGGCAGAAGCACTCCAGGGTGGGGCTTCAGAAAACAAACAATTGCGTCTCACATGGGGATGACTTACACCCCTATAAGTGTCAGCAGAAATTTTCTTTCCTGCCTTATCTCGTGTTAGATAGTAACGGTCTCAAACAATGTAAAATAGTATGGTGGAGAGCAAAAACAAAGTACAGGTATTTAAAAAAATCTGGTGACCAGAAAACATTTCTTCTGAATTCACTCTTGATAGGGTGAGTTACTGCAAACAGGGCTGTCTTAATGCTAACCTGTGTTCCAATTAAAGTTTGGCTATAATGTCTACTATCTTGACCTAGAAGGTGGCATAGATGTGCTTTACTCCTGAAATCCTGCTAGTGTCTGAGATTCATCATTATCCACTAGCCCTGTCCGTTGATGATATACATGTGCTACTTCTGTCTTCTCTGGAATGGCATATCATTATCATACAGGTGGTTGTTCTAGACGGGCATGTTGGAATTCACCAATTGTAAATGTATCCATCTCTGGAAATGTGTCCGGCCAAATTCTTTGCGACTAACCCCATTAACAAATTCCTGATGAAGATTCAGGCACATATGTGGCAGTTCTATGTAAGCCGGCAAGAAGTAGCTAGTACAAACGGTTGCTTGTCTGATTCTGGACTTTAGTACTGTTGCAGAACCTGAGTTTAGTGTGCACGTTCATTTTACATATCTGGTTTATTTGTATACAGACCATTTGTTCGTCGACTCTCAGGAATATGCACTCTGAAGACGTCACTCCTAACTGGTCACCTTGTATGCGACATGCTTGTCAGCTTGTGGTGAGTCTATCCTCTTTCGCTCCAAAATGTGCACCTTGTAGCCCACAGGGAAGATAAGGGTCCCTATGAGAGAGCCGCCAAATAGCAATTGGAAGATTTTTTTTTTTTTTTTTAAAACCAAACGTATAAATGACGACTGCGCAGTGCCAATAAAAGGAGTTGAAGTGGCTGTGATCTATACTTTCGCATTATTGTATAATTATTTTATACAGGAAGTCCTGTAAAGAAGTGGCTAGCTAGTTTGTCTGGCATAGGTATTGTATCGGCCCAGTCTAAAATAAGTACCAGGATATTTAATGGAAAGTATGTGCAACTAGTGTTATACTGATCTCTACACCACCAACCAAGTGCCGGTTGCTTTCAAAATGAGGTCCCGTACAACTACATATGCCTCACGGCATCAGGTCAGGATCTTCACTTATTGTAAGATCTGCCTTTTCTTCTTTTTCTGTGTCCGCCTTGGGAACGGTGATTGATATAGTTAGTTATTTGATAGATTACCTTCATTGCACATTGGACAAGTCAAAAACGACTAGGATCCCATTTACAGAATAACCCTCAGCGTGTGGCGACACAGAACTAGTGCTTGTTATGGTGTGGTTTACAGCTAGGTGGCGATATCCGAATTTTTTCAAATCAAGACATGTGATTCAGTCAAACCCTGTCCCTGTGTGGATTCTGGCGCACAGTGGTAGGGAAAACAAGAAGAGACCTACTGCCTCCCCAAAAAGCATGTCGTAGGAGATGACTAACTGGGAGCTTCTTTTGAAGTCGGAGTACATCTGAGAGGCAAGCAACCACCAGTCTGCATACAAATGAATCAGGATTTGTAAAACACATGTGCATGCAAAAAACAAAGGTAATACTCACGTTCTGAGACATGATTTGAGTCCAGAAGTAAATGAACAACCAGAACTTTCTGCAGGAATTTAGAAAAAGAAACAAACCGTCATCAGTCGCCATTAACAACATACCTGTCAAAATCGGGAGGCATATATAGTCTCTTTACCCCCCCCCCCCCCACTTCCTATATTATATATATATATATATATATATATATATATATATATATATATATATATATATATATATATATATATATATATATATATATACCCCTAATTGTGGCTCGAGCAATATAATATACTGATGATGGGATCCGACCGTTTATGGACTTGTTCGATATGTAGTTAAGAATAATCTGTCGATTAACTCACTAACCTTTTTTTTTTCTGTATATAAAGTCACGGAGTTTGTTCATTAGACTGCCTGAGCCACGACTAGGGGCAGTATATCTCATTTGTCCCCACTATACATGCCCTGACCGGGAATAATGTAGCCATTACAGTTGCCCCATTTATAATTGCTTATGTAACAGTCCTGGGGTAGAAGTCTGTCCTACTACTAGGCGCGTCCGTCAGGTGGCGGATGGTGGAAAGGCCTCTAGATATAGAGGTTAGCCACGAATATATTGAATAAGTGGCCGTGGACCAAAACAGGTGATGGTCATTGAGAGGAGGCGAGTTAGTTGGTGGGACAGCTAACTCTATAAAATACATCAAAACTCTACGACATGGCCATCGGCGGGTAAGAAGCACCATAACCTCTACTCCCCCCCCCCCTTGCAAGTCTCTTTAGACAAAGGCTATTGGAGTCAAACCATACACAAACCGGCGGAAGGTAAGGGAAAACCACCGCTGAACTATCCCTAGTAAATAATGCTTCAAAATAATACGAATTGAGATAACGACGTGAATAGGGATTCCTGTGGAATCACCTCGTCCGGTAGGGAACATCATGTTCTACGGGTGATACCCGACCGTCATCCAGCTACTCTAGATGAGAAGAGGAAAAATAGAACATGTTGTGACCACTGAAAAGATCTGTGGAAGGAGGGATAGAGGAATACAACGAGATAAGATGCTTGACAGTCTTGTTGCATGGCATGGAGGTGTGTCGGCACACGAATTGATACATGCTGCAGAGAGGCATGATCGCCCACACCAGTCGGCAAGGCACATGATGATTATGTAACAGAGGTCGAACGGGGTATCTCGATTTGCACTGCTAGTCTGCCGTCAAAAATTAAAGTATGCACACAATTCCCCCACCACAGAACGCACATACTGTAATGTTTTTGAGACCAAACTGAAAAAAAAATCGAATATGTTGGACTGAACGGTCCTGATATCAGAAACTAACTATAAACCCCAAAACAACTTGCTAACGCCCCTAATAGTGAATTATAAATAAACGACACAGAACTAGTGGTGACAGGTTCAATTCCCGGCACGGTAACTATAGCTTTTGATTTTTATGTTGTCTAGTGTGTTCTTGTATCTTTCTACGAGTGCCGTTCACAATACTTTCTGTTACTTGATTAATTCATAATAGTGAATTAGGACGAGCCAACTGGCAATTTGACAAGCAGTGGGAACTAGCTTCAGGCACTGGCGTTGCTCCCGTTTCCCATGGATACCACTTATTTACAATATTATTTATTATTACCACATATATTTATTTTTGTTGGAATAGAGGGATTTGACTTCATAAACATTTACCGCTTTGACAACCTCAACAACTTGGACCTAATACTTTCTACATTTAGATCAAAGAGTCTTATTTACTTTGCGCGGTTTTTTTTTGTTACTTGAAATTGTAAACATATGTAAACAAAGCGAGACATTTGCCTCAAGTGAGATATGTCCGTAAAAGTAAACAAAGGCCCATCTTCACATTGCCACTACTACACGGTTGGAAGTTGGGTGAGCATAGCTAATTTTTAAAGTTTGCTTCCCGCTGGAATTTAAAAACGACCAGGGCTTTTTTTTTCCAGAAAAGAAGGTTAGTTAGTGAGTTCATCGACAGATTATTTTCACGGCATATCGAATAAGTCCATAAGTGTAACGTGCTATTAGCGATCGGATCTCATCTTACATCTTCAGTATACCGCTCAGTGTGTAGCGACTTATAACACCAGTTCTATGTTGGTGTTGGTTTATAGCTATTCGTCTTTGACTACCTGTATAGTGTTCAGGTTTAGCGACACCTCTTTTGACTTGGAGGTCTTTTAGTCTTTTGAGTGTTGCCGATTCAATATGTTCTCCTGAATCATCTTTAAAAAAAAAAAAAAGAATAAGAAAGGAGGTGCCGGTACTCACCACAAACTGCCAAATAAAGATACCAGTACTCACCACAAAAATTCTGTCACAGTAGCGCTGCATAAAAAAAAAAAAAACATTGAAAAGGATGGTACTGCAAAACCGCCAGAGAAAAAAAAAGCCTCGATGGTTAGTAAAGAATAACCAGCCTTTCTTTTAAAAGCTTGTTGGGATGAGAAGTCAAAGACAAGACAAGAAAAAGTAAAAAGAAGGAAACAAGGTGAAGGGTACCGTTAAAAGATGGACGAACAACCGATAGAGATAGAGAGTCTTTGAGATCCATTACAGCCAACCTTCATTGGGGAGATGGCGCCTTATTGATTGATTGAATGAATACTAAGTATAGAGTTGATAATGAGGAGTCAATCGATCAAGAGCTCTAGTAAAGGCTGGATGCAATATATCTGCAACACTGTCCCACATCTTGGTTTCACTTTATATATGCAGGGCTTTTGTTGTTGTTGTTGTTCTTCTTCAGCGATCTCTGGTCATGCGCATAATCCACTGTGGGTCATAAACTGGGATGTCTTTTCAAGGTCTCTTAGGTTTCCCCAAAGCTTAGTTGTCAGTTCTACTGGGTGCTTTTGTTCTAGAACACAAGATGCCGGGACTTACTGTAAGATGTCTTTAAAAATATGTCTGCACTCACTTCAAAGTGTCTGTTACAGTAGAGCTGAAACAAATAAAGATTGTAAACTTTTATTGATTCTTTACCCCAGGTTTTTTTGGGGCAGTATGCAACAGTACACAGTACCGGCTCCATTTGCTAGGCAATATTTTTTTCCCAGTCCTTCTGCGATTGACACTTTGTGCTGCATACCAGCATTGTGTTGACTGAGTTGGCTGTCTAGATAGTTCTAAAGTTAAAATTAGTTGTATATCCTTTACAGGACGTTGCAGAACCAAAACCCAGCATTTTGTTGTTGTTTAGCTGTTGTCGTTTTTCTAGGCAAATTTTGCGTTCACTAGCTTGCCATTGCTTTCTGAACAGTCACCTCTGGTACCACTGTTGAAACCAACTCATGACAAACCGTCTGCAGCTGGGATCGAACCCGGCACCCCAGCATTACGAAGCAGATGGTTCTAGCTATGCTAATTTTTATCTTTTTACAAGAAGTGAGTAGGGAAAATGACATTTACGGTCATACTGCAGAAAATGCATAACCATAATTTTAAATTTTAATTAAGAATTTTGCAGACTTAACACAGATGTTGACAACAACAGGCCTGAAATACCATGCTATAATTGTCGAAGACTTCTTAACACTCGCCATCGACATGGGCACAATATAACACTGTCACCTGAAAAGACGGAAAGGTGCCAGCCAAGTAATTATTTGGCAAGTGTATCATGTGAAAGCATTCTCTAGGCTTTGTTATTGATGTTAACTTTTTTTAGGATAACATTTCAGGGTAGCATTTGGCTCATGACTCATGATTTATGTTATGCTACAGAGTGTGTGTACTGTGTTGGCGGTAGTAATAATTATTTTATATTGTTTCTTCTTTGTAAATTTTAATAAGATCTATATTTTCTAGTTTCCAACAGGCTACTATGGTCATTACCGCAGTAGAGCACGTGTTGATTTTGTTAATGAATACAGGCAGTTAGCGAAACCACAGCCACCTCAGCGATTCATCCAACGGTCTTTAGTGAGTGAAATACATTATTTTGAAAAGGACAAAACATTTTATAAATTAAAACAGAATTAGGAATGCTAGATTTATTGTTTTCTTTTCTTAAAGTCATCTCTGAATTGTCTTCACCATGGTGAAGGAGAGAGGTTTGTGAGATCTAGTGATGCAACAAACTATGCCGACAGCAGCTTAGCTTCTGGTAGGTTCTCCCAGGTTAGACTCATATTGGAAATAAGAACCAAACAAAGAGAGACACAGTTCTACTGCTTTGTCAAAGTCAGAGGCTAAGGAAAGTACCCCCCAAAAGATGCTTGTGGAAATACGTTTGATATACAGAGCCACAGGCTTGACAGAATAGTGCAGTGTAAGTTGCTTCATAATTCCTCATGTGATCAGAACAAGAATAGACCCACTGCCTCCCCAGCAGGCATGTCATAAGAGTTGACTAATCAGGGGCTTCCTTCAAAGTTGGAGTGCATCTGCATGAGAGGTAAGAAACCAACAGCCTGCATACAAATAAGCAAGATCTTTCAAACGGATGCACACAAAAAAGAAAGCTCTCAATTAGTCAACTCTTATGACATGCTTTTTGGTAGGCAGTGGGTCTATTCTTGTTTTGCCTATAATAGGGCCCCGGAACCCACACAGGGGCCTATATTTGAAATGATTGGCATCACATAAGATAGAAAGTAGAATCAGCACAGTTGTCTTTGAAAAGTCATTTTACAGATAATACCTTGTAGATTTTAGATCAAGATTCCATCAGTAAAATATAATTTGTCAAATGTAGTGTGGAAAATGTATTAAAGTAGTACTTCTTCAGCATTCTGAGCCCTTGAGGTTCATTGCTGCAGATATCACCTGCCTCCATTCATCTCTCTGGTTGGCCTTCTCTTTCTAATTGGTGACACCAAGTGTTTGCAGGTCTGTATGGACATTATTTCTCCAATGTCTTCTTGGTCGGCATCTTGATCTACGACCATTCATCTCCCTCGTGTATAGTTTTTACTTCTCTTTCAATACGCCCCCACCATTTCAATCTATTAGCTCTCATGATGCCATTGATCAATGGTGATTTAAACAGATTATGAATTTCGTTGTTGCTTCTCACTCTCCATTCCCCGTGTGTTAAAGTAATATACATAATATTGTTATGTATATTTGAATCATAAACAATAAGCAGTAATAAAAGCTAAACAGAGAGTAGTTTATGAACCAGTATTGGCAAATTTTAACATGCTTTAAATGTTTCTTGTTCTTCTTCTTCTTCTTCTTCTATGCCTGTAAACTCCGGCACAAACTTCTGGTTGTTTATGAACTTTTGGACTTTGGCCTTTGAGTTTAATATATAAATCAGTTTTACAGATCTTTCTTATTTGTATGCAGACTGTTGGTTCCCTAATCAGTAGACTTTTATGACCTGCATGTTAGGAAGCAGTGAGTTTCAATAATACCTTTTGAAAATGTCCTTACCCAAGCCCCCAGAAAAGAATATAGAAAGCCACTACAGAAAAAAGAAGAACATTTCAATAACATTGTTAATTTAAATCGCCCATGTTCTCATTAATCTAAAATGAATTTTCTTACCTTACAGCAACCAGCAGATTACCATCTGTTTTCTATCCATGACAACAGAAACTCTTTCCAGTGTGATGCGTCCTATTTTTCACAGGTTCAGTGTACATTTACTTACAGATATTTAGTATGTAACAAGTAACTAAAGCATATTTTTCCATACCTTGACCTTATATTGTTTATATGGTGCTAACCCCATATTTCCATTTCATAATATCCATTTCATAGATAAATCAGGGCTTGAAGGCTTGACGTGTAATTATGATAAATATCACATTAGCTAGATTGCTACTTACCATTTCCTGGTAGAAATTTAAAGTGAGTTGACCAGGATAAGCAACAATAACAACAACAAAAATCCATTCCATGGGAGATTTGAATACAAAACCACGGTTTCAGTAGGCAGGTGAACTAGTCACTATATTACAGTGGCTTCTTTTCTGGTGGTACGCAGTAAAAAGTAAAGAAGGCGACCCTTTTGCATGCAGTCAGGCTTATTGGGCATATAGGGCTAGACATATTTTATAGACCAATAGGCACTTGGTGTGTTATGTAGTCTTATCATCCATTTTATGCCAGATGTGCTGTTTTACTTTCCTTTAGTGCAGCATCAAACATTTATGACAGTGAGTCAGCTTCAGGGAATAATCATTTTCTTATTTTTCACATCCACCGTTTAGTAAACTCTGTTTTTTTGGTCCACTTCTGGACTTGTTCCAGAACCTGAGTTTTGTGTACACATTCCTTTAGACATTTGGCTTCCTTGCCTGCAGACTATTGGTTCCTAGCCTCTCAGGCAGATGCACTCTTACCTCAATGGAAATGCCCTCCATATAGTTGACTTTTTTTACCTGCTTGTTTCCCGTGTGGGTTCCTGGGCCCCATTATGTGGACCAAAACTGCATGACCAAAAGCATGTCATAAGAAGCGACTAAATAGCAGGTTCCTTTGAAGTCTGAGTACATCTGCCTGAGAGACAAGGAACAAACAGTCTGCATGCAGATGAGTCAAACCTGTGAAATGGATGTGCACACAGCACTCAGTTTCTGGAACAAGACTAGAGTCCAGAAGTGGACGCACAACCAGAACTTTCTGCCGGACTTTAAAGCCAGTAAAAGCGAAGAAGAATAAGATTACCTGCTGGTCAAGGGGAGGCAATAGATCTTTTTCCCCCCTACAATGGGGCCCTGAAATCCACGCTTCCAAGACAAGATGCTGTTTATTAGCCAATCTTCCTCGATGTTCAGATCTTTTAAAATGTCAGTATTTCTCCTCTTCTTTGTCCATTTTATTCTGAGATCTTTCTAAAGCATTTCAGCTCAAAAGCCCCTATTTTATTTACCAAGAACTGTCAGATAGTCTAATATTCACATCCTTGTGTTGCTAAAGGGAAGATGCATGCTCTCAGAATTGTAACTTTGATTTCTTTGGTGTTTCATTATAGACTTTTAATGCTGTTCATAATTATACAGTCAAATTTTAAATTAGTTTCAAGGAGATTCACAAGTGCTCTTACTATCTTGTTTTTTTCAAGGGTCTTGGACGAAAACGACACCCGGATCGATCAGGTATTTTTGATCCCAACATTTTGTCATGGCCACCATATAGAGAAAATCCAAAACTTGACCGTCCGTTAACTTCCACATACAGGAAAGACTTTAAAAAAGATGAGCCGAATGTTCAGCTGTTAGTTAAGCGACCGCTGACATCATTTGATACAGTCACCACAACTTACCGCTCAGTTCATGGAAAAGATTCACCAAACCATAACCTCATCAACGCACTAAACAATGAAGCTTTGCTTATTACCACTCGGAGTCGGCTTTATCAAGCAAGAAAGAAGAAATCAGGTGAAAGAGAGACGGTAGCATCTTGTCTGACCTGGTTTAGAGCTCCTGTACCCCCAGCTACTTCTCAGGCAAAGCCTCCACCCCCTCTACCCACTTGTCAGGCAAACCACCCAGCTACTTGTCTGACAGATTGCAGTGGGGAAACTCAGTCTACCCAGGAGGGTTCTGTGACAATAGACAACATATGCATGTCACAAGAGATGTTACCAACACAAATGTCTATGACACTTGATCTACCAAGGCAAGAAAGTCAGACATTGACACCTTTGGCAGAATAAGCTGATTTTTTTTACTGCAGCCTGACCAAACAAGACATTTACAGTACTTTTTAAAAATATTTTTATAGTTATAAGTGTATACTTTTTATTCTTTGGTAATTTTTTTATTTTATTGTAAAGAAAAGCAATATTTTGCTTATATACTTATATTCAACAGTGTACATTTTTAAAGCAACATGTAGATACTTCAGATATATAAGCTTGTGTATCCATTAATTGTTTATATATATTTTTAATTATTCTGCATGCAAAACATTTCCACAGTAATTCACGTTAGCATAAATAAATATTTGAAAACAATAAATACATTACATTTTTCAACGACGGTGAAATAAATTTTTCAAAAATATGTTTTAGATGCAGATGTCAGAATATAAACATGACCTTAGTTATTGATTGGAATCCTTACAAAAACTAATAAGGAGATTTTTAGCAACCTTTAGACCAGTGTTCTCCAAGCCTTTTCAGATGGCGCCTCCTTTAAGTATATATCAAGACCCTCATGCCCCCTTGAGTATATAGCAAGACTCCTCCCAAACATAACAAAATGTGATTACAAAGAGGACAAAAAAAAATCCCAAGGACTGTTAACATAAACTTGAAGAAAAACACTCACATAATCTACCATGCCAATTAACAAAAGAAACAACCTGCAGCAACTGACAATTTAGTGTCCAATTGTCAGTTTGATGGTCGGTTTGATGATGTCTGCTACTTTTGGTCTGATATTGGACAAGGCACAACAGAGATCACTCTCCATATCAACCTAGCAGTGCTGTTTTCTTTTCATGACTGTTGAAGCTGAAAATCGGGATTATTACAAATAAAAATGCACTCAGTTTCAAAATTGCTTAACGCCCCTCTTGAATTAATGGCCAGTTACTTCGATCATCTAACCTTGATCACATTGAGTTTTTTTTTTATATTTTGAATTATATTCTTTTACAAATTTGTTTTATTCCTCTGCCGTAATATATTTTGAATTTATCTATATGACCATCGATCCAAACTGCGGGCCATGCGCCTTGCGTTGGTTTCGACAGTGGTATCAAGAAAGCCGACCGTCCAGAAAGCAATGACAAAATACTGGACGTAAATTTGCCTAGAAAAACCGCACAATGGCCAGGGGCTGTTGGGGTTGGTTCTGCAATGTCCTGTAAAGGATACGCAATTAACTTATATGACCATGTGATTTTTACCCTCATATCTGTTTATTCATTGACCCAGTGATTGTCAGTAGCATAGTGACTAGATGCTTTCCTTTTGGCCTAAAAGTATAAGTTTCAAATTAAGTTTGAAGCAGATTTTTCTCGTAACCCAACCATTCCTCATGTTAGCAGTTGCTGTCTTCATAATCCAGTCTATTGCCAGTAAAAATAGGGGAGGTAACAAAAGACGTCATTGTTGCATACCTGTTCTTATTTCAGATGTGTCTGTTAGCTTTCTCTCATGAAGAACTCAACATTTCATGTCTTTTTATGTTTTTTTTTACTTAGTTAATGATTTTCTGTGGGATCCCATAGTGTCCAATCAGTTTCATGATAGATTCCTTATCATTGCTGTTAAAAACTTTTTTATAATGTAAAGTGGGGATTTAAGTTTATTGATTTACTCTTTTATTATGCGTAGTGTGGTTATCTAATATTATTCTTCTCGTCCATTTTAGGATGAATTTTTCGTTTTTTTGAAGCTCTACTCTGGTTCTTGGCAGGGGCTGCAATATAGCCTGGCCATAAATATGGCCCACAGGCTGAACGCGGTTTCTGGGACCTCTCCATGGCGATCCTCACCCACATGGTGGCACATTGTGTCATCGGGTGTTTATCGCTTGTGTGATCTCCTGGTGGGGTAGAAAGTCGGTCAGTCAGTGTAGTTATCCTGTAAGTACAGGATCTGTTTGGCTGAAAACCTGCCTGTTCATCTCTTAGCTTTTTATCAACAGCATTTTTTAATCCTTCGGAAACAATCCTACTTAATATTTTACCAGGAATTGACACCAGCATAATTATTATATAGTTTTCACACTCCAGCAGGTCACCTTTTTTTTTTAGCAGTTTCACAAGATATCCTTTTCTCCAGTCTGCTGGTATTTCTTCTGTCTCCCAAACTGAACTGAATAATTTATGTCATAATTCCACAGAAGTTGTTATATTGGCCTTAATAGCTTCTTCTGGGATACCATCTGGACCTGCAGCTTTTCCTTCCTTCAGAAGATTGATGGCTTTCCTAATTTCCTCTTTGGATGGTATCTCACAGTTGATATCCAACCCAATTTCTAAAGGCTGGATATCTGGAGGGACCTCTAGGGCTGGTCTATTCAGAAGTACTTCAAAATGTGCAGCTCATCTGTCCAATTGATTTTTAATGTTTGTGAGTACCTCTCCCTTACTGATTTTGATTGATCAGGTTGACTGACTTTACCTACTAATTTCCTTGTGTTACTGTAAATGTCTCTGAGGTTTCCTTTTACTGTTGCTGTCTCCACTTTGTGTGCTAGGTCATCTAATATTTCCTTTTATCTGCCCTTTTTTGCCTCCTATCTTCCTTGTTAGCTGATGTGTATTTGTTGCTTTCTAGCTTTAACAGTGCTAGTTTTGCTATTGTTTAGGTCTGCCGTTTTGCTTTTCATTTCTTCAGTCATTATGCATACATTATGTTTCTGTTATATCTTATCAAGGACTTCTACACAAGATTAAATTCAAATTCTCTGGACCTGATCCCAGCAGATTTCAGTGCTTACTTCTTCAGCTAACTGCTGCAACATCTGGTACTTATACTTCTTAGAGACTAACTGACAATTGTTCCATAACTTCTTTATCCTTGAGATATCTTACATTATACTGGTTTCAGTACCAATAAATAACAGCCGTATTTTGATATGTAATTATGAATGTTTTTGAAATATCTGTACTTACAATAATATGTCTTAGATCTGGTATAAGAGTATTAAACAACATTTTTTTTTTAAATTAAAAAATCTCAAAGTTTAACACATATTTATGAAAACTGCTCAATTGTATTCAATATATTGTGTGTTATAGTGATATGTATGAACATACAGATTCATATGTATTATATATATATCTCTCTTCTGTGATAAATAATGATAACAGTGTATTAATATAGTCTCATGAAATTACAATTTTATTTATTTCTCTGTATATAATCAGAATAATCAATACTGTATCATCCATATATCTTATTTTATTGATGTTAAATGCCACCATGACGATTCTCTTTATGTCTAAAAAAAAATATAATATTTTCACTATATAGAAGATAAATTCTGGAGACATTATTTGGCCCTGCTATCTAGCCCTGCTGCACACCTCTCTTGATCTTTTGTTGTTGTTGAAAATTTGTATTGCAGTGTGTTGTTTTCAGTAAATGTGCTGACCTTTACTCCCAGTTCTTGTATTCGTGGCTGTGATGTGGACACATGGCTCCCACAATCCTCTGTTCTTCCTGTCCTATCTTTTTAAATTCAGTGACAATGTCAGCATGATCTATAGGCTGGCCATCTGCAAATACCCTTAGATACACTTTGATAAAATAGCTCATTAGCATACCAAAGTTTTTGTATTTATGATTTTATTCTTTCTTTTTTTTCAAATGTTTATAAAATATATTGTACTTTTGTACAAAGCCTATTTAACATATACATATAACTTTTTACATTTGTTAAATAAATTTAGAATAAAGAATCTTCAAAATTCTAAACATTTGTTTTTTTATCGTTCACTTACATAACTATCCTTGTGTGGGTTCCGGGGCCCCATCATGGGTTAAACAAGAACAGACCCACTAACTCCCTAGCAAGCATGTTATAAGCGTCGACTAACTGGGAGCTTAATTCGGTCAGAGTGCATCTGCCTGAGAGGCAAGGAATCAACAATCTGCATACAAATAAGTCAGATCAGTAGCAGGCAACAATCAGGTTCTGAAAAAAAAAGATTAAAATCCAGAGATAGGCAAACAACCAGAACTTACCGAGGAGGAAGAAGAAGAAGTTACATGTTATATACAGCAGATCTATTCAACTCAGTTTACTCAGGAGCTCATCACAGGCCAAAGACCCAAGCTGCAGCACAGAAAGATCTTTAATACAGTACAACTTACATCAATCCACTGGCCATTTGCTAGGCCTCTGCAGGCCAGATTTGGCCTCCAGACTGCCAGTTGAATAACCCTAATGTACAGAATGTCCGAAATACAGCCCACAAGTTACCTTCTGTTTGTAATATTGCTTGGTAGTTTAACATTCATTAGTCTGCTATTGTCCACTTAATGGTCAATGCTTACATCATTGTCAAAATCAATTATAGCAATCTGCTTCAAAATTTTTAGCTGCTGAATCAATCCCCAGTATGCCAAAATGATGAAGCTGCATTTAAAACCCCTAAACTAGAGCTGTAGCCCAGTATCATTTACTGACAGTAGTCTCTGACTATTACTTCATCTTCTTCTTCTCTTCCTCTGGATGTGCCATTAGAGGCGTGATTGGCATGCTAAGTTGTGGTTTACAGCTACGTTGCAATATCTGTAACTTGTTGCCAAACACGACTAATAATCAGTCGCCTCTTTTGTCATAATTATTAGGGGCCAGTAGGTGTATTATTCCCTACCCCCCCCCTCCCCACCCCACAATGGGACCTCAAAAACTACATAGAGAATTTGCGTAACCCGGCTGTTAACCCTGACAAAAAGACCTAGTTATTCATCCATTTCTAGAATTCGGCATTGTTCCAGGACCTGAGTTGTGTGCGTGCATCCGTTTTACAGCTCTTGCTTTTTTGTTTGCACGAGGTTGGTTCCTTGCCTCTCAGGCAGATGCACTCGGACTTTAAAGGAAGCCCTGAGTTAGTCGACACTCTTATGACATGCTTGTTTTGAAGGCAGTGGGTCCACACAGAGATTCTGGCTTTCATCACCATTGTTTTTCAGACAGTCAGGTTAGTTGCGTATCCTTTACAGAACGTTGCAGAACCAACACCAACAACCCCTGGCTGTTTTGTGGTTTTTCTAGGCAAATTTACGTCCAGTAGTTTGCCATTGCTCCTGGACGGTCGGCTTTCTTGATACCACTGTCGAAACCAGCAAGGTGTATGGGATCGAACACGGCATTAGGAAGCGTTCGCATTGACTTAGCCACAGAGCCGACACAATTAGTTAGTTAGTCGACAGATTATCCTTTTTGCACGTAAAACCACTAAGTCCATAAGTTCCCTCCTCAGTAAATCCCGCGGCGTGTAGTGTTCTGTGTGGGTTTATTCTTCTTCTTTGGCTACCCGCGTAGTGTTCTTGTCTGGCGATATCCCGTTTAAATTGCTGTTCTTACAATCTGACTATGGTTGCAGATTCACAGTCCTCAGTTGCTTCACACAAACGTCTTTAATCTCGTAGAGCATTCAGTATTTCAGCCTGGTTCATGGATGGTCCGGCTTTCCCAGGAACCTTACCTGCAAGTCTATCAGCTTGCTCATTCCCATGTACCCCCACATTTCATGGCACGAAACTAAAACTTATCCTTGTCAGCCGTGAACGCTGTAGAGCCACCAACCACTGTCTTCTCTATCTTCCTGAGCAAGCACATCAAGTCACTGAGAAAGCATGCCCCAGTGAAAGTCTGTGTCTCTAGCCATGTTACTGCTTTAGTCACAGCCATGACCTCCATAGTTAGACTACTAAAGATTTCCAGCATGCTTTTTGCATTGTTGCTCTAATGGAATTGTTAAACTATACTTCACCCGTGAAAACAAACGTCCAGCTCCAAGGTTATTGAAAATGTATGCTGCTCCTCCCCTTTGTGATACCATAAGCACGGGGTTAATGTGCTTTATGGTTAAAGCCTGCCCTGACCACACCACCCACCAAGCGCTGACTAGTCTACAAAAGCATAAGTCTTGCATCATTTGCCCAAATTGCCACTTGCGTAAAAAGGGTCTTTAACTTTATTTCTGGAGGTGGGGGGGGGGGGGGGGGGGTAGCTGCGTGGTCTTGAGGCATGGTGTCCGCCTCGAGTGTTGGAGGTTCCAGGTTTATTACTCGCTAAAGGTTGGGATTTTTTTTCACGTGGACTTTGACTTCTAGTACTTCCCCCTGGTATCGGGGTAGTGAGATCGGACGCCCGTGTGCATTGCTGCGCTTGTAAACATTTCCTTGGCATTTGGAAATCGAAAAGAGTAGCCCAATGACGCTGCCCTGACCAAATTTGGAATTAAAAATCTACCCAAAGTATTTCAGCCGGTGCTACAGAGCCTGTGCACTGTGCTGAGCTTCTTCGGACTCAGAGTTGAGTTAGAAGAAGAACGGAGCACTTATGGGTTACTACCCGTGTGTCATGATGCTGGTCCGTTGTCCAAACCTCAAACTTTATGCCAGAGGAATCAAAGATGTGAAAAGGGTCCTATTTAACTAACATATGGGAGATACAGTGGAAGTTTTTTTTTTAAAGGTGAGCCATGCGCCTACCGTGGTCTAGTCGTCAACCTGCAAGCCCTTGGATGTAGCCCGCCGTGGTCTGTATTGAAAAATTGTATAGTAGTTTGGTCGACTGCAAATGAATTATGAAACGTGCGTGTCGTTTATCTTCTTCCGGCGACTACCTGACGGTACGGCACGCATTCAAGGCCCGATTTAGACTCGATGATGCCTCCAGCTAACTCAAGCTATGAGTCCCCTATCGTTTACAGTTACACCTACCAGCTGATCTCAGAAAGCTTTAAAATATTTTTGCCATTTAAATACACGGATTATGAAAATATGTCATCCTTTAATTTTTATTACAAGAAATAAAGAATTTGTATGCAAAATCATATGTTTATTAGATAGGTCTCTAAAAGGCTCATAGGTACAACTTTAAACATCTTTGGGCTTGATTTCCCAGATGTAAAATCATTTATATGTCATCAAAAGAGATGCTACGTAGCACGTTGCTTTCTATAACACATAACAGTACTTTTGTGAAATCAGACACTTTTTCTGGAGACAATTTCCTTCTATTTTATTATCTATCTCTTTAGCTGTGAAAATGAAAATCTGTTAAAAGAAAAGGGGAATTTAATTTAGGCCCCTGCATATGGTGAGGTCCTAATCTGTACCTTTTTAGCTGATACCCACACCCAGCACCATATTTTTGAAGCTGCCTAAATAAACATGTGGTTAATTCTTGGGGAAAACCGCCTATGTATACCAGCAGTTGTAGGGGGAAAAGGGGGAGGGGGCGTGCCGCCACGGGTGACATCATTGAGGGAGTGACAAATGGCAAAAATATGTGATTTTTTAAAATAAATATATATATATGGATGTATGTGGTGGATGGGGGGGGGGGGGGGGGGCGGAACAGGGCAGCATTTATATTTGATGATGCCCCAAGCTGTATAAAGCCATGAGGCCTCTACCGTTTTAAATGAAACCAGCTAATTTCAGAAAACTGTACCAAAAAATACGCAATACATATTTACCTTGTCCTGGGAAAGTAAGACGGTCGGCGTAATGCTGACCACATTACCCTCCTAATGCCGATGGTCTGGAAAACTTTAGGTGCTTTTCCCATATGCCCGTTACGCCTTTGGGCCTGAAAAATGATCTTTGCTTTACTTATTTACCTTACAGCTTACATTGTGAGTCCTGAGAAGTAAAGGCGGCCGGCGTAATGCTGACCACCAAGTGCCGATTGGTCTATACAAATATAGGTCTAGCCCAATATTCCAATTACGTCTAAAGGGGTGGAAAAGGGACATTTACAGCACTTAAACTGTGAGTGATTAAGATGACCCAAGTCAATAACAAGTGAAAGCTGACATATATCAAACGATTATTTTAATTAATTTAAATAGGCTACAAGTCTAGCATAAATAAAAGCCTTAGGTGATATTTTGAAACTTAAGACCAATGCATAACGTCAGGCCCTAAGCTGTAGCTAATACCCAAATTCGGCGGTGGTGGACCAAATTTATTAACTGGTGCCAGAACTGATTGAGGGAATTAAATTTTATGAGAGTTCCCTATAATGTGTTTGCACTAGAACGAGTAAATGGGCATAGCAATAAAGGCACGCCCCCCCCCCCCAACCGTCCAAAAAAAGCCCTAAACATTGAGAATGGAGCTAGAGGATGAAGTTTCAAAGAGGGCGGCAGGGGATGAGCTGCATGCAATAGCGAAGGACAGAACTGGTAACCTTAGTTGCAGCTGGTTAAAGGCCTAGGTTCCATGGGGAAGATATAAGGCAGAAGAGAAGAGAGGAACAGTGTACCACCAGGCCTTGCTACACCAGTGAGTGCCAGAAATAAATACAAACAAATACAAGAGACAGAAGGTTGTAGAAAATCATGATTACACATGCCATGGTATAAGAAGCATAAGTGATTTCCCAGAATTCCAAGACTCCCCCTGTACGCATGCGCGGTGGTGTACTCCATGAAAGAAAAACAGAAACATGAGCTCCAAGATACCACGAAAAGGTTATTGAAATTGTTTTCTCTCTTATCTTTGCCTGCAGTTTTCACTTTCGTTTTGAATTGTTATCTGTATCCTTACTCGTTGATATTTTTTTGTTTGCAGCGCTAGCCATACAAGGCCGGAAGAAGAGGTCTAAAGCAAAGCCGCGGTTCAAACAAGACGACAAGAAACGAATGTAAGAGCCAAGTTAAAAAATCGTTTCTTTCATAAAAATGTCTAAAGTGACTACTTTCACTTGGAAATTAACCTTTGTTTTTATTTTATTTGTGTTTCTGGTTAAAAGCAACATATGTTCGTTTATTGCAGTGTAATTAAATTTGACAAAAGGACAGCAAGCATATATTAATATAGTCTTTAGTTTCTCTGACTAAGTCTGGATGTTAAAATGAAAAAATAATTCGACTTTTATATTATTATTATAATATTACCGTATAAAATTATAATTTTTGTTTGTTACCCCCCCCCCCCCCCCACCCCATTTCCTCTCCAGATTTTCATTCAGACAGCTAAAAATCCCAGAAACCAGATTCAACCTTATAGCCATAACATAAAGCAGAATTCCAGCAGTCCAAAAGGAGCTGTTTGGGAGGGGGGAGGGGGCATAGAAAATATTTATATGTAGTCGAATTAGTTTTAAAAATATTAATTAAATTGAGATGGCTAGTAATTGAATAAGGACATCTTTTAACATGCCTCGAAGTATGATTAAAAGTGTCTGGCTTTATCACTCAGTAGATGTTTCATCTTTGGGCTCTCCTGTCAAATCCGGATGAAGAATAAAAAGCCTTGGACGACTTAGTCAGAGTTCTCTCCCTTGGCAGCACTGCAAACAGTGATCGGAAAAGCCAACGAAACAAATGACACACTTACCTATCATCATATGGTTGCGTGCAGGGTTGCGTACGGTTGCGTGAGGCATCGTGAATGGTTGTGTAGTCATCATGCTGTTGTTGGGTTAGAGTTAGGGGTAGGGTTATGGGTAGGGTTAGGGTTAGATTTGAAAATTTTGACGTAGGTTTTCGAAATACTGGCCGACAATCTGATGTTTGTGGTCGTGGCGCCACTGAAATTCTGCTAAATATGACGCCAATAGTGTGCGGCTGGTGCCCAATCGTTGGCGAATTGTGCGTTTGACCAGCATCCAGAGGCCCTCAATTGTTTGTGTGTGTATGTGACTGTGTACGGCGTCGACGAAGTTGGTCTGGTGGACTACTACCTCGTGCAGATAGATGCCATGCCGTAAGTTTGCCACGTTGCTGTAGCCTCGCCAAGCGTCAGTCACGATAGTCGTTCCCGGCAACTATGTCGTGCGTCGGAAGACCAATGTTAGTTATGTGAGTGCGTCTAACTGCCATGTTGCTTGTGTCGTTTGTTTCGTTGGCTTTTCCGATCACTGTTTGCAGTGCTGCCAAGGGAGAGAACTCTGACTAAGTCGTCCAAGGCTTTTTATTCTTCGTCCGGATTTGACAGGAGTACCCATCTTTGGGTCCTGCTTACAAGAGACCTTCTAAGGCTAATCTCTGTGTCTATCCTATGGATTTCCCAGTATGCTAGCATTATGTTTTATAACTCCTATGTCTATCCTATGGATTTCCCAGTGTGCTAGCATTATGTTTTATAACTCCTGTGTCTATCCTATGGATTTCCCAGTGTGCTAGCATTATGTTTTATAACTCCTGTGTCTATCCTATGGATTTCCCAGTGTGCTAGCATTATGTTTTATAACTCCTGTGTCTATCCTATGGATTTCCCAGTGTGCTAGCATTATGAATTATAACTCCTTAATGAACATAAACATAATCAGCAATTTGCTGATTAGCACCACACAGGAGGCATATAATATTGGTTATAAATTATATTGTTCTTTAAAAAGAAACTTTGGTGCTGTCTTTTTAGCAGACCACAAATGATGTCATGGGGCAGTCCAGTATTTTAGAGAGTGGTAAGAGCGGGTTTTCTGTGCTTTAGCGCGTTTCTTCCAAAGCCAAGGTTTTCCTGCATTTGCCTAACCCTAACCAAAACTAGATGCTTGATCTACCACCCCCTGAAATATTTGACTGTCCTGTGACCTTGGATTTCTCCTGTTTGTGGTTGGCTAATAAGAAATTACCAAAAGTTTTGTATTCCATTATATTTATTGTGTATCATTATACACTGGTCTTTGAGTTACTTGTTCAAGTAATAGAGATTTCTTACATTAGTGCAAAAAAGCTGTACCTTTCAAAGGTTTGCTTACAGTAAAATCAACCCTCCCCCCGGCAGCATAACCATCCACATTTTTCTCTTTTAGCAAAAACAGTAGCACCACACACGTACACTTTATCGTTATCATCATCATCAATTGCCAGGCCAACAAAATTAGGCCGTAGGGGGTTTGTCGCCTCCAGGGTATTGTTTCCTTCAGAGTTTGTCAGTTTTCAAATCTTTTTCTACTTTAGTTAGTTTGCCAACAGATTATCCTCATTGCACATGGAACCATTCAGTACATAAGTGCTCGGATCCCCTCCTTAGTAAATCCTGCAGTGTGTAGCCGCTCAGGACACCAGTTCTGTGTTGGTTTCTTATTCTTTTTTGACTTCCTGCATAATGCTCTTGACTGGCCACACCCCTTTAAACGTGTTGTTCTTGTCAATGTTGCATATTCACAGTCATCACTTGATACTCACAAACCTCATTTTTGAGAGCATTCAGAATAGCAGCATGGTCCATGGCCCGTCTGCCCTCCACAGCAGCTTTACCTGCAAGCCGATCAGCTTGCTCATTTCCTTGCACGCCTGCGTGCCCAGGCACAAATATGAAACTGATATGTATCAGCCCTTACCACTTTAGAGACTCGGGCCACTATCTTTGGATCCAGCCCTTCTCTATCTTCCTAAGGATACTCATTGAGTCACTGAGAAACCATAGGTGGACCTTTTTTCTACTCCAATAAGCGTATAAAATTTTGACTCTACGTCCAGTTACTGTAATCAGTTTATGATTTTCGTATGTGTTTTGGATGACTGCCTCATTTGTTTTTCTGTCAGTAAGTTTTGTTTAGTTGATTCGAATTAAGAACAAACATCATATCACTAAGAACATTATCATAAACACTTCATTTCCAGCTTCAGCAGCCGACACGACTAATTTTTGATAGTAGCAGTAAAAATCTTATTTAATATCTGTCTTGCCTTTAGGTCAGTAAATCATTCTCAGTGCATTTGTCTTATAAATATTCTACAGTATTTAGTGATTGTACCTCAAAGTTTCACGTAGACGAGAACGGTGAATGAACAAATTTTTCTGTGTTAGCCATTAAGAGAGAGTTGACGTGTTGTGATGAGGCTTACAGTAAGTCTGCGTGCGATATATGCACCTTTCGGTACAACACAACCAAGTGCAGAAAAACAATCACCTATTTTTAAACCAGTAAAATTGGGGCTTAGGGAATTTACAAGTTGAGTAATGCATGAACATTACACAAATGTAATGACCTTTAATAGGGTGCTAGGTCAGTGTTAATTATGTAAACAAAATCTGTTATAAAATATTTTGAAATAAGCAGTTGGTTTAATGGTTTTACTTAATCTTAATTTATTGAAAAATACTTATATGTTTCAGTATTATTTCATTAATCAGGTAGGTAATTAATTAAACAAGGTATAGCAGTAATGTTTCAAATAGTTGCAATAATTTATGGCAATCAATCCTGTGCGTCAGTACAAACCATGTGTGTCATACAGAAGGATTGGATTCTGACACCTGTTTTTTTTTTTGTTGTCAAATGAGAACTGACCAGACCCAACAGTCATGCCATCATACAGTAGGCTTGAATCCCTGTGTGAGATCCGGGTTTCCATTTTTGGAGATGAAAGAACAAACTGGTGATGTTTACTTTGAAGTCAGAGCGCATCTGCCTAAGAGGCAAGGAACCAATAATCTGCCTACAGATAAACCAAATCTGCAAAATGGATGTGCACTCAAAACACAAATTCTGGATTAGGACCAGGGTCTTGAAGTGGACTAACATCCAGAGAGAATTAAAATGTGTGGAAAGAACATTTCTATTTAAAATAAATTAAAATTGCATTTGTGGGGGGAAAATATTGTTTAGGCCTTTGCAGATTGTGAAGACCTAAGCTGTAGCTCATTCCTAAATCCAGCACTGGTTGGCACTGAGATATCTGAAAAGCTGTACAGTTGCATGAAAAGTAATACTTCATCCTGACTTATCTGGAGTTCTCCGTGTGATTTCCCCACGCCCCATTTTGGGAGAGAAAAAAGTACAGACACACTGCCCCTTTAACAAGCATGCTTTAAAAGATATCTTATTCGGGGTGTTTCCTTTGAGATCAGGGTGCATCTGCCAGAAAGACGAGGAACCAACAGTCTGCATACAAATAAGCCAGATCTGTAAAATGGATGTACATGCTAAATTCAAGTTTTGCAGCAAGACCAAAGTCCAGAAGCAGGGGAACAACCAGAATTTTCTGCTGGAGGTTACAGCTGGTGAATGTTAAGAAGAGGAAGGCTTATTTGGAGTAAGGATTCACCTGTGTGTCTTTGGAATGTAGTAAAGTCACAAATAACAGTCCTGAAAATGACTTTGGTGTACTGCCAACAATATTCAGTGTTGGAAAAGTAGAACCAGGAACGACTGAAATGTGGCAATATGGACTGATGTATGTGCCATGCATGACTATCATATAATAGAAATGCTATGTGAAAGATGAGTAGTTGGAAGAGCTGAATGTTAGACAGGCCTTCATGCCCAATTTGTGGTATAACTGGTATGTGAAAGATGAGTCGTTGGAAGTTCTGAATGTTAGACAGGCCTGCGTGCCCAGCTTGTGACCCTTCAACTCTTTCAGTACAAAGAAAACCACTGTGCGCTTCTTGGGTCCTTCTTACATTATTTAAATCTCCTCAGCTAGCCATGCCACATCCAGTCAGTGCACTAACCCACTTCCTCGTGTGGGTTCTAGGGCCCCATTGTGGGTAAACACACCCAGGCCTTCCCAAGAAGCATGTCATAAGAGTCGACTAATTGGGAGTTTTCTTCGAAGTCGGAGTGCATCTGCCTGAGAGGCAAGGAACCAACAGTCTGCCTACAAATAAGTCCGATCTGTAAAACCGACAGTCATGGTATGGAACAAGTCTAAAGTCCAGAGGTGGATGAACAGCAATAGCTTTCTGCCAGAGTTTACAGCCGGTAAACGTGAAGACGAAGAAGGAAACTACCCACTCAGCTCCAGTTATTACTTTTATTCCCCCTCTCTTTGGGGTTATTATTCTCACTCATTCTGACATTTATTAGTTAAAGTAAAAAACTGTGTGGGACACAGTGTCTGAAATAACACCTGTCTGTACTGAATGAGTTGAAAATACAGTATCTTCATTTCTATCTCAGAATAACTGACACATTCAGATAAAGTATAAATATTTAGAGGCAGTATTTGTAAATAGTCCACAAAGTAAGTCAAAGAGATAAATAACTATTTCAGTAAAAGAAGATCATAACAACTGCCCAAAGAAGACTGTAATAATAATAAAGTCAGAGGCGAACTAGTTTTATAGTGGTAGGCCTTGTAGGCGACAAAGGTGTTAATTCATTAAGGCAGTGAACTGTTTGAGACATCTTTTTTGTGTGTGTCTTTATTTTCTTTTTGTTTGTCTTCTTCGTCGTCTTCTGCTTCTGCTTCATTTTTCTTCTTCCTGCTTGTTATGCCAGAGGGTCTGGCCGGCTCACTACACTCAGAGGAAAGGCAAGATGGACATATAACAAGATTGTGACCGGTACCATCAGTATTGTAACTCTGCGCTGGCTTCTGAAGATGAAGGAGCATGCATGGGAATGCCCCTAGTGCTGTGATGTCACTTCTTGAATCAACTCAACTGTTATGCCTTTCATCTTCCAGTGATGCCCTAGACCAGTCCAAATCTCCCCCGCTGAGGCCTAGCAGGTGGCCTGGGGAACCCTACCAGTTGTATTGAATTAGTAGATGATTCTATGCCGGGGATCAAGTCTCTGGCCCTTGAGGATCCCCACTCATAAAAGTTTGGCCCCAGAGTAAATGTAGTTGAATAGCCCTGCCTTAGACCATCAGCCACCTCAAGCCAAGCTACTTGTAGACTTTGATTCATGTTTTAGAACAGTGTTTCCCAAACTGTGTGCCCTTGGGAGCCGCGACCACTTTGCAGGGGCACTTCGAAATATTCGAAGATACACGTGTTTTTTTTTCTTTCTCTTACATATGATTAGTCATCCTTTTACTTAGGTTAGGGCATCGTGGAAAACCATGCTGCAGAAGCTTGTAGATCAGAACAACAGGCTCCTGTCTGTCCACCTGTCATAGCTTCCCTCCTAGACCAGCTGTCAGCCAAGGCTGGGAGGTGAGTGAACTCTTCTTCTTGGGGTTCACTGGGAGAAGGCCCCCCTCACCCACCCCAAGAAATTTTCAAATTGTATTACTATTTTGACAAAGAAGAGAAATACTGAAATGGTCGACCCCTGGCTGTTACTGTTGTATCTGTATAGCATTGCGCTCTGTGGTGCCCTGTTTGATGCCAGTCTTGTTACATGGCCAAACCATTTGATTTTTTTTGTACCTTTTGTCTACGTTTTATTTATTTGCAGTATCTTTCCACTATGCATATTTTTAAAAGGTGTGCATGTTTTAAACCTTTTCTAAGATTAGCTAGTGTAATTTAAAATGATAAGGGCCTCAGGGCTTTACATACCTTAGGGCTTCATCAGGTCTAAATCCTGCCCTTGGTGCCAACAGTATCTGTTATCAAATGTTTATCAACATCCTGTTTTATTTTTTTCATGTTGACAGATCAAATGATTCAAAGAGGAAGGATGAATCCCCTTGCGATGAAGAAGATGAGGAAGAGGAAATCCTGGGATCAGATGACGACGAGCAGGAGGATCCTCGTGACTACTGCAAAGGAGGCTACCACCCTGTCAAAATTGGGGATCTCTTGAACAACCGCTATCACATAGTGCGCAAGTTGGGATGGGGACATTTCTCAACTGTGTGGCTCAGCTGGGATCTTGCGTAAGTATTTGAAACAACAAAGACAAATGCTGTCTCAGCCCTGGAGGTTGGTTGCAGTGGGTATTGTCATCCAGTGTGGTCTTTAGGAATATTAACAAGGTCAGGCCCCAATATCTTGCACAGTGCAACTCTCATACCACTGTCTGAAAGTAAGTAGACAAAAGCCACTTGTAAAATGGTTGTGCACAAAAAGACTTGAGTTCTGGAACAACTCTAGAATACAGAAGGGGATAAACAGCCAAAACTTTCCTCCAGAGTTTACAGCCGGTGAACTGTAAGAAGAGAAGAAGAAGAAGAGCACTTGGTTCCTCACCTCTCTGGCAGATGCACTTCGACTTGAAGGAGCCACTCCTAATTGTTCATCATTTATGGACATGCTTTTTAAGTCGGCTTGTGGGTCTATTCTGTTTTCTCATCACAATAGGGCCCTGGAACCCACACAGGGAAATCAAGCAGTCAGTCTGGTACCATCTCTGCAATGAAAAATAACCTCCTTAGGATCTCCAACACTCTTGTCTCTCACCTTGGAGGCACACACTTTTCGACTGCTGCTAATCAGTCTCTTGCTGTTATCCTCCCACTTGTATTACTGTCTACCCTTTGCTTACCTACTTTAAATGTTTTCCTCCAGTTTCGAGTTCATACATTTCTTTAAAAAAACTTCATTTTCTTCCAGTTTCAATTTCATAAATGTTTTTCTTTTTTTTTTTTAAATTTCTTGTCATTCTGAGTTTACAGAATCTCTGAATTTAATTGCTTTTTGTTTTCATGAAATGCAACCCGTTCTTATGTATGCCGTCCACTTTTCCAGGGTCTCAGTTTCTTAATTTTTATCACATACCCAGACAACCACCACCACCACACAAAGTATATATCCACTAGTACATTTTGTTCCAGCTACACACAGCAGAGATCCTAGCACTAGAGTAGGCTGCTGAAATGTCACACAACACCAGTTCTGACTGCCACCAAGTGGTCAGCTACACGGATGCGCTATCCATACTCCAAGCCCTCAGCTACACGGATGCGCTATCTATACTCCAAGCCCTCAGCTACACGGATGCGCTATCCATACTCCAAGCCCTCAGCTACACGGATGCGCTATCCATACTCCAAGCCCTCAGCTACACGGATGCGCTATCCATACTCCAAGCCCTCAGCTACACGGATGCACTATCCATACTCCAAGCCCTCAGCTACACGGATGCGCTATCCATACTCCAAGCCCTCAGCTACACGGATGCGCTATCCATACTCCAAGCCCTCAGCTATACGGATGCGCTATCTATACTCCAAGCCCTCAGCTACACGGATGCGCTATCCATACTCCAAGCCCTCAGCTACACGGATGCACTATCTATACTCCAAGCCCTCAGCTACACGGATGCGCTATCCATACTCCAAGCCCTCAGCTACACGGATGCGCTATCCATACTCCAAGCCCTCAGCTACACGGATGCGCTATCCATACTCCAAGCCCTTAGCTACACGGATGCGCTATCTATACTCCAAGCCCTCAGGAGGGGTAAACTTTGTGCACTTCTGTGCATTGATTTACTGTATGTTCCCCATGTAGGTTGGGTGACCCATCTTTGGAGGAAAAAGGAGTAGACACACTGACCCCTGAAAAGCATGTTGTAAAACACAACCAATTAGAAGTTTGCTGAAATTTGATGTGTTTAGCCAACGGGTGATATATCACAGCCTCTCTGTAAACAACAATACAGCTTGCCAACCACCTTTTTAAGGACGAAAGCAAAATTAGAATTAGCTGTTTGTGAAATGCAATTCATTTCTGTTTGTTTATATCTTCTTCATCTTCTTTATGCCCCCTTTTAATGCTTCAGGTGTCAAGGGAGATATAAGGCCCTGCTTCGTGCTCTTCTGGCTGCTTTGACCATAGACACATCGTGGTGCTGTAGAGTTTCTCTGGTATCTTCCAGTGAAAACATGTGATTCACTGTGACTTTCTCCAGAGTCGGAGTGCATCTGCCCGAGAGGCAAGGAAACACAAATCTGCATACAAATAAGTCACATCTGTAACACTCAAGTTCTAGAGTAAGACTAAAGTGCAGAGGTGGACGAACAACCATAACTTTTCGCTGGAGTTTACAGCCGGTGAACATGAAGATGAAGAAGAAGATTATGAGTCGCCTATTTTATCAAGCCTACTGTATTTGTGCAGTAAAACTTTGTTAACACGAATTCCAAAAGAATTTGTGTTCAACAAATTTATGTTAACTGGAGACACATAATAATAATCTCCGCTGGGACTAAAATTGTGTTCATGTTAACTGTTTTTCTCAAGTCTTTGGGTCACAGGGGGTTTAGCATGAGAGGCCCAAAGGGTAGTAAAGATAAATGTATAATGGGTGCATCTTGTCATCATTGGGCTTCTAGGTAAGAACCTATGAATGTGTGATGGATTACTTGGGACTGAGTTAAGTAAGTTGGTGTTAATCAAGGTTTTACTGTTGTCTTTATTCTCAAACAAAGTCACTTATAGCAATTCTGCCTTGCTTGATTTTTAGCTGCAAGCGGTTTGTGGCTCTGAAAGTGGTCAAAAGTGCCCAGCACTACACAGAGACAGCCCTGGATGAGATCAAGCTGCTCAAATGTGTGAGTACACAATAACTAAAATAGCAGAAACAAAACTACCTTAATTACAGGCTTGGCTTGCTTTGGACACACACAAAAAATCACGTTTAAACCAGCATACCTGAAGGGAAAGTTTTAGGTTATAATTGTGACTAGGTTATGAGCGTCATATAAAATGGCTTAGCATTGCTCGCGACCTAGAACCCTGAAAATGACTCCTGCAGTGTTGATGCGATCAATGGAGACAGACCCAGATACTGTCTTGACCAGCGACAAAGTCATCTACCGGTGAGCCAATGGATGACCTGGTTGTAACTGTCTCGACCAGCGACAAAGTCATCTACCGGTGAGCCAATGGATGACCTGGTTGTAACTGTCTTGACCAGCGACAAAGTCATCTACCAGTGAGCCAATGGATGACCTGGTTGCCACTGTCTCGACCAGCGACAAAGTCGTCTACCAGTGAGCCAATGGATGACCTGGTTGTAACTGTCTCGACCAGCGACAAAGTCATATACCGGTGAGCCAATGGATGACCTGGTTGCAACTGTCTTGACCAGCGACAAAGTCATATACCGGTGAGCCAATGGATGACCTGGTTGTAACTGTCTCGACCAGCGACAAAGTCATCTACCAGTGAGCCAATGGATGACCTGGTTGTAACTGTCTCGACCAGCGACAAAGTCATATACCGGTGAGCCAATGGATGACCTGGTTGCAACTGTCTCGACCAGACGACAAAGTCATCTACCGGTGAGCCAATGGATGACCTGGTTGTAACTGTCTCGACCAGCCACAAAGTCATCTACCGGTGAGCCAATGGATGACCTGGTTGCAACTGTCTCGACCAGCGACAAAGTCATCTACCGGTGAGCCAATGGATGACCTGGTTGTAACTGTCTTGACCAGCCACAAAGTCATCTACCGGTGAGCCAATGGATGACCTGGTTGCAACTGTCTTGACCAGCCAAAAAGTCGTCTACCGGTGAGCCAATGGATGACCTGGTTGTAACTGTCTCGACCAGCGACAAAATTGTCTACCGGTAAGCCAATGGATGACCTGGTTGTAACTGTCTCGACCAGTCACAAAGTCGTCTACCGGTGAGCCAATGGATGACCTGGTTGCAACTGTCTCGACCAGCGACAAAGTCGTCTACCGGTGAGCCAATGGATGACCTGGTTGCAACTGTCTCGACCAGCCACAAAGTCGTCTACTGGTGAGCCAATGGATGACCTGGTTGTAACTGTCTCGACCAGCGACAAAGTCGTCTACCGGTGAGCCAATGGATGACCTGGTTGTAACTGTCTCGACCAGCGACAAAGTCGTCTACCAGTGAGCCAATGGATGACCTGGTTGTAACTGTCTTGACCAGCCACAAAGTCATCTACCAGTGAGCCAATGGATGACCTGGTTGCAACTGTCTCGACCAGCCACAAAGTGGTCTACCGGTGAGCCAATGGATGACCTGGTTGTAACTGTCTCGACCAGCCACAAAGTCATCTACCGGTGAGCCAATGGATGACCTGGTTGTAACTGTCTCGACCAGCGACAAAGTCGTCTACCGGTGAGCCAATGGATGACCTGGTTGTAACTGTCTCGACCAGCCACAAAGTCGTCTACTGGTGAGCCAATGGATGACCTGGTTGTAACTGTCTCGACAAGCGACAAAGTTGTCTACTGGTGAGCCAATGGGTGACCTGGTTGCAGATGTCTCGACCAGCCACGAAAGTCGTCTACTGGTGAGCCAATGGATACCTGGTTGGTCTCCATTGCGACCTGGTGATCACCGATTTTCATCTCAACCGTTTGAGCCAATGGTCTCATGTTTAGAAGGCGACAAAGTGGGTTTGGTCCAATGGGTTGGTTGCAGATGCTTAATTACATGTCCATGGTTCTGCTACTTGTAGTCCATTGTTGAGGTGATCACGATCTCACAAGGTCATTTTGCACGGCAATTCCCTGTGGCATCCCGTCATCGTCACTAGAATTATAAAATTCATGCTTGGTGCAACGTTTCAGTGGCTTCCTGACATTTTGCAAAGAGACCAAGCCAAATAAAAATAAAACCCAGTTCATCTTTTTAACTTTAATCTGTTTTGTTCATTATTTCCTCCTGGAGCGAAGTCTCTCAACTAGTTAAATAGTTATTGCCAGGTTATCCTATCTTTCACCATCTCATGTGCAGATAACTCCGTATCCTCCACTTCTGGCACAAGCATATCAAATAAGGCAACTAAATCTGGGTGATTTTCCTTCGAAGTCAGAGTGCATCCGCCTAAGAGATGAAGAACTAATAGTGTGCTTATAAATAAGCCGGATCTGTGAAACAGGTGTGCATGCAAAATTCAAGTTCTGGAATAAGACTAAAGTCCAGAGGGGGCTGAGTAGTCTCAAGGCATGGCATCCACCTCGAGTGCTGGAAGTTCCAGGTTCAGGTCCTGGTGAATGCTCTGATTTTGTCATGCTGGAAATAAAAAAGAGTAGCCTAACAGCGCCGCAAATTTGGGGTTACAAATGTACCTAATGTATTTCAGGATCCTCGCCGGTGCTACATAGTTCGTGCACTGAGCTGAGATTCTTTGGACTCGGCTTAAACTAAAAGTAGAATGGAGCACTTATGGGTTACTATCCTTGTGCCATGATGTTGATTCGTTGTATAAACCAAACCAAAGTCCAGAAGGGGGTGAACAATTAGAACTTTCTGCTGGAGTTTACAGCCGGGGAATGCTAAGAAGAATAAGACTCTTTGTCCTTCTACCATATTCAGCTGTCTGGAGGGGATGGCTTAGACATGTTTGCTTGCTTCGTTAACACTGTGACATGCGACAGCTTCCCGGTGGAAAGCAGATGGAAGAAAGAGACCTGGCTGATGTAGAGAAACCTACAAGATAAAAGGAAAATGAAGGAATGTAAACTGACATAGGGTAAAATGGGTAAACTGACATAGGGTAAAATGGGTAAACTGACATAGGGTAAAATTGGTAAACTGACATAGGGTAAAATGGGCAGAATAGAAGGACAATGGCTGCAGTAGAGATCACTTGTAAATGTCTTATGTGTCAATAACTGTATGAGGAAGATATAGATTACCACTTTTAAGGAGGTGTAGGATGGAAAGGGGGGGGGAGGGGTGAGTCTCAGGATTTAAGACCTGAGCAGGTTAATATTTTGCACCTGACAGAAAAAAATGCCTATTACGGAGAATCAAACCCTGCTCTCCTGCATGAGAACAGTATGTTAGAACCACTTGATCAGCCGCTGCTTCCTATTTTACACATACTTTCTTCTGCATTCACATTTGATGGGCGCTTGGCTGTGGTTGACAGCTAGACTGCAATATCTGAGCCTTTCAGCCCAACACATGTTTTTAAGCACACGTCTGATTCTTGTTTACTTGTGATTTTTTTCTTTTTGATGTAAGATAAAGCTAACATTTGATCATCTGTTGCAACATAGAAGTGCTCATCACTGACTTGTGTTTACCAGGTGCGTGAAGCTGATGAGAATGATCCCCACAGAGAAAAAGCTGTTCAGTTGTTGGATGACTTTAAGATCTCCGGCATCAATGGAACCCGTATCCTTGCTGAAATTGTACTGCTTAGCCAACAGTGTCAGGATGTCATATTTTAAAAGATAGATAGTTGCAGTTCCAAATCACAGCAGATGGGTCACCCCATAGTTGTAGTTCCAACTTCACAGCAGGTGGGTCACCTTATAAATGCTCTTTTCCTGAGCCAGCAAAAACTGCACAACTAACCCTGTCACCTTGAGAATGCTTGTTTCTGACAAGCATGTCCTAGAAGTTGACAAGGTTCCTTAGAGGTCAGAGTACATCTGCCTGAGCAGTAAGGAACAACCAACTGCACACAGATCTTGTTATTTTGTTGTCTCACTGAAACCAGGTTGTAGCCCAGTGTCAGGGTTTTCTATATTTGTCTTGCACTTCTCGGGTGGCTTGAATGTTGCAAATATTAATCTTTTTGTGGGTTTCAGCTACACCATTTATCCATTTCTTTCTTGGTCTTCCTCTTGCCTTCCTTCCAGATGTTCTGTAAAAGGTTTCATATGTAGTCTGGTCTGGCTGGCTGCATTCTTACTAAAAGGTCGAACCATTTCATTCTTTATCTGTCAACACAATCCAGACATGGTCTTATTCCAACTTTCTCTCTAATGCTGGTATTCCTAACCCTATCTTATCTTGTGTTGTTAGTGACCTTGCAGAGACAGCAAATTTCTCGGGTAGTTTATTTTCTGTTTTAGTGCCTCATTCATTGTCCATGTTTGGCACTGATAACATAAAGTAGCGATAAAGCTGCTATTAATTATTTTATGTTTGCTGGAAGGGAGACATTTGGGTGTCTAAGCGGTGGGGCTAACTGGTAGGTGACAGCATTTGCCTCCTGTACTCCTGAGTCTGCCATGCTCTGTAAATTTGCTTCCTAGATATTTGAATTCTCCTACTTGTTTGATTCTAGTACCGTTAACATGAACGTTTATGATATTATGCTTCCTGCCTATCCTCATTACCTCAGTGTTCAAGGTGTTTATTCTGATGACATACTTAGTGCAGGTTTGATGTTAGGGGTCAGTATCGTGTTGTAAATAAATAGGTAGTAGCAGAGTGTGTGTGTGTGTTTTTTTTGCGGTTCAGCTAGATGTCTCATTGTGTTTTTGGGGTTCAGCTAGATGTCTCATTGTGTTTTTGGGGTTCAGCTAGATGTCTCATTATGTTTTTGGGGTTCAGCTAGATGTCTCATTGTGTTTTTGGGGTTCAACTAGATGTCTCATTGTTGTCAGATCTACTGAAATGTGTGCTAAATAATTTTCAGAATTTTATGAAAAGGCACCAAGAGAGGAAATGTTTATTCCATTTCTTAAGTGGGAAGGCGTCATTATTCATAGCTCTGATGCTGTATCTGCCTATACTTGTTAGTTAATAATTAATTTATCACATAAATTTTTTTTTCTCCCCATCTGTGTTCTGGGGCCCAGTTGTGGGGGAGAAAAAAATAGACCCACTGTCTTTCTAACAAACATGCTGTAAGAGTCCACTAATTAGGGGGTTCCTTTACAAGTCGGAGTGCATCTGCTTGAGAGGCAGGGAACCAAGAGTCTGCATACAAATAAGGCAGATCCTTGAAACAGATGGTCATGCAAAACTCCGGCTCTGTAACATGACTGGAGCTGAGAGGTGGATGAACAACCAGAACTTTCTGCCAGAGTTTACAACCGGTGAACGCGAAGAATAATTATTTGTTGATTTATGACAATGATTCGCCTAATAACAACAATTAATTTTGCAGTCCCCACATCCTTAACTTTTATTAGACGTCTGCATGGTGTTTGAAGTTCTGGGTAACAATCTGCTGAAGTTAATTATTCGCTCCAACTACCAGGGCATCCCGCTACATAACGTCAAGCTCATCATTAAACAGGTTGGTTGTCCTCACTAGTCAATATTTGTTTTGTTGTTTATGATTGTAGTTATTAAATTTGAAAACCACTATTGAACATGCCAACTGCCCTAACCCATTGACTACCACGATTGCATGTTTTGCGATGTGCCAACATTTACGAAAGGCTATCTTGATCCCCCCACCCCCCACCCCCCGGTTCATAACTTTGTTAGTGTAGATTGTGTCCCATTACGGCTGTTTGGCTTAGAGTTTAGCAAAAATCGTTTCACAGTGCAATCCTCTACATTTATTGTGATGCTTTTTCTGCTCTGCGAGTTTTGGGAAAATATCCTTGTGACTTTTTAAGTTTGAAAGTTCAGTTATACTGTATCAAATGTTTTTGGTGCAAAATGGCAAACAGCCAGTGAATGTGAAGAATTTGTTTTCACAGCTAGGCAGAGCTCCCATCCAAAATTATTTCAGCCACACAAAAATGAAAAGTAAAAAGTGCAAGGGTTAACGGGTGTAGTTGGGGGGGGGGGGGGATGTTAAAAGAAGAAAAGGACATTAATAATTCTGATAAAGAGGGTTAACAAAGAAACTTTCTGTGTAAAAGACAACAAGAACATTATATTATATTTGGAAACACCAAAAAAACGGCTTTTGATATTACAAGAGTTAAATAATAATATTGGTGTTACAGGTTCTAGAGGGGCTGGATTACCTCCACACCAAATGTAAGATTATCCACACGGATATCAAACCTGAAAATATCCTGATGTGCGTGGATGAGGCTCACATTCGAAAACTGGCAGCAGATGCTATCGAATTTCAAAGACTGGGGCTCAGGTTGCCTGGGTCAGCAGGTCAGTGACTTTATGCATTCTCTCTGTCCTCGGTCTGTTTTTTTCCCGTCAAGGGTTGCTACCTGAAGGTTTGATCCTCAATGAGACTACAGGTGTCTCAGCCTGGGTGGCAGACCAACAGGACAAATTCCAGAAGTACCGTAATACCGATTTGTGCAAATGTTTAAAATTCTACCTCTATAGTTCTATATATATACAACTGCTGTGCGAAAGATGGTTGACTGGAAGGGCCGAATGTAAGACAGGCCTGCGTGCCCAATTTGTGACCCTTTGAAAATAAAGTTCGTTCGTTCGTTCGTTCTTGTTTGTGTCTTTGTCTCAGGGGCTTCTTTACTGAATCTTATGATCATCAGCTTTAAACTCCAGCGGAAAGTTCTGGTTGTTCATCCACTTCTAGACTCTAGTTCTGTTCCAGAAACTGATTGTTGCATTTTACACGTCTAACTCATTTTCATGCTGACTGTTGGTTCTTTGCCTCTCGGGCAGATATACTCTGACTTCAAAAAAAAAAAAGCTCCTATTTAGCCAACTCTTACGACATGCTTTTGGGCAGTCAATGGGTCTGTTCTTGTTTTCCTCACAATGGAGTCCCGGAACCCTAACAGAGATGAATAAATGATGAGTTGAGAACTGACATAGCACTTGAAACATTCCGATTAGCGCTTCACATCCATCTTCAGCTACAAGCGCACAGTTCCACTTTTGATTTTACCAGAAACACGATGAAAGAGTAGGAAGTAAAGTGAAGGAGACTTTTCTTACGCCTTATGGTTTTGGTAAGTCATCTAGTATCTGCAGCTGTCAGCTCCTCTGTGGTTGGTTGTCTATTGACATGACTCTTTCCACATCTGGACACATAATAATAGACCCCCCACATCCCCAGCAGAGATTTCCTAAAAGTGAACTAATTAATTAGGATGTTTCCCTTAAAGTCTGAGTGTATCTACCTGAGTTGTGAGGAGCTAGTAATCTGCATACAAATAAGCCAGATCTGTAAAACGGACATGCTCGCAAAACTCAATGTATGAAACAAAAAAGTGGATGAACAGCCAGAACTTTCCAACACTAAGAAGAATTTGTATTCTTCCTAAACTTTTGGGAGCAAGCGACGTAATCAGTAGAGAAAGAAGATTATTATGGCCTGGAGAGAATGAGGCCTCTGGGTGTAACGAGAGGGTCTGGTCGGCTCATTACACTCGTATGAAAGGCAAGACAGATATTTAACCAGATTGTGACCGGTACCATCAGTATTGGAACTCTGCGCTGGCTGCTGAGAATGAGGACGGAGCATACATGGGAATGCCCTGATGCTGTGATGCCAATTCTTGACTCAATTCAACTTAACCTTTGGTTTTTTCCTCATATTTTCAATAAAATATGGGGCCCTTCCTGTTTGTGACCCATGCTAGAATAGATGACGCAAACCTTAATCACTGAAGAAGAAGCCAAGACTTTAATGCAAGGCTGTTCAACTGTCTTGAGTCAAGAATTGACATCACAGCACTCGTGCCATTCCCATGCACGTTCCGTCCCCATCTTCAGCAGCCGGCGTAGAGTTTCAGTACTGATGGTACTGGTCATAATCTGGTTATATATCCATCTTGCCTTTCCTCTGGGCCATTCAGTTGAGTTTACTCAAGGTGCCAACACTTAGAGAATGGGGATTATCATTGGCTAGATCTAGCATAGAAAGATACAATACAATTGGCAGTGATCTGTGGACTACTAGTTAAGCCTCCATGGGCCACTAGTTAAGACTCCGTGGGCCATCTTTAGCCCTCAGGCCACCAGGTAAATAGCCCTGCTTTAAATTAATCGTTTTCAACATACATTTTTTTCCTATCTGGGCTCGCATCACAGTGTGTCATTACCTGAATGTTCTGGGTTCTTGACAGTGAGTACAGCACCAAAAGAGAAACCTCAGGATCTCTCCAAGATGTCCAAAAACAAGAAAAAGAAGATGAAAAAGAAGCAGAAGAAACAAGAACAGCTTATACAGATACAGATGAAGCAGCTGGAGGAGCTAGACAGAGAGAAAGGTGGAGAGAAAGAGGTAAGAAATTGTTGCCTAAAAAAAAAAAATTGCATTATTCCTATAGACAGTGAACTTAAATCTGATAATGAAATATGTAAAAGGTGTAGGTGAACTACAGAACTAAGCCTGACCTCAGCCAGTCTTTTTGCACTAAGCTTGTGTTTCCCATTTTGTGGTTCGTCGTTGTCTTCTTCGCGTTCACCGGCTGTAAACTCTGGCAGAAAGTTCTGGTTGTTCATCCACCTCTGGACTTTAGTCTTATTCTGGAACTCAAGTGTTGCGTGCACATCGGTTTTACAGATCTGACTTATTTGTTTGCAGATTGTTGATTCCTTGCCTCTCAGGCAGATGCACTCTTGACTTCGAAGGAAGCCCCCAGTTAGTTGACTTTTGTGACATGTTTGTTGAGGAGGCATGGTTCTATTCTTAATTTCCCCACAGTTTGGCCAAGGAACCTCCCACGGGTACCACACACGTTAGTCCATGTTTTATGACCTCAAAAATATGGGGTCTATGGCAGACTTTCGAAAGAACCACTGTACTATACTGGATCATGACCTTCTCCGTGTGGGTTCCGGGAACCCAATTTTTGAGAGAATAAAAAGATTAAACCTGCTGCCCTCTAAGAATCATGTCTAAAAGGTTACTCTTTAGGGTTTGTTAAAATTTGATGTGTTTGGCTAAAGGCGCATATATTGCGACCTAGCTGTCACCACAAGACAGTGGTACTTGTTCTCGGGTACCATTGATCGATGCAAGACTTTTGGAAAACCTCCTAGCTCAAACATTGTTTTTGGCACTTTTCTGTCTTTCCAGACGGTAGTGTTATATTTCTGTTAGGAGGCCTAAGAATCACATCCCCTTGTGATGGTTGATTGTTGAATTAACAATCGACATCACAGCACTCGGGACACTCCCATAAGTGCTCAGTCCCCATCTTCAGCAGCAAGCGAAAGAGTTCCAATTTGGATGGTACTAGTAACCGTCTGATTGTATATCCATCTCATTCTTCCCCTGCGTGTTGAGTGTCGGCCAGATCCCCTGGTAACTCCTAGCAGCGCCATTCCGTTGTGATGGCAAATGTCACTGTCTTGCCTTAGGAAAGTCATCCAAAATTGGATTATCGGTTTTCAGGACCTCTTGCCATAGCAAAAAAGAGACTCCCAGCTTACATTAGCAAGTACAGATACCATAGTCTCATCTGATCATATTATACTTTGCAGTGTCGAGGTGAAGTAAAATTCACAGGAAAGTGCCTGGTTTTGTCCTTTATAAATGGGTATTCCCATCAACTGTTATTCTCTCTGTCCCTCATTTGCATGGTCGACCACTGCTTCGCATTTAACTTGGTCTGTATGTCATTGCTTGCTGTGGTATATTGTTTGTTAGCATCTACGTTATATGGCCAAACCATTTCACTTTTTTTTCTAATACTACCATAGTGATAGTGTCAAAAAACATTATAAAGTTCATGGACTGATAGTTTTTTGTTGTTGTTTGTTGAAGTCCAGGTACTGTAAAGTAAAAGGACCCCTTTCTACGTCTTCAGGCATATTGGGCAGATAGTGTTAGACCAATCGGCATTCGATGGGTGATGTGGTCAACATTATGCATTCCACCTTTACTTCCCAGGACTTTAGCTGGTACCCATTTAAAGTTGGGTCAACCTTTGAGTTAAGATCAGTTTTGAAAAGAAAAATCAGCTTTTTTGGATTCCACAACTTTAGGATCTGCAGGCAAGCGTCTAGCTGCTACACCATAGCGGCTCCCACAGGCCATAGGTAATTTGTTTAATGTGCTGAAGTTTGCATATGAAGTACAATAAAGGAATGCAGAAACTCATTATGTTTAAGAGAAACAAAACTTAGTTGAGTATCCTTTAAAGACTCAGCCATACTCACCATTGTTTCGCTGTTGCTGTTTTTCTAGGCAAATTTTACATTCAATAGTTTGCCATTGCTAACACACTGTTTGATGTAACATGCAGGGAAGCAGCAGTAGCGGTCTCTTAAACAGCGAAAGCTTCAACAGCCTGCAGAACATGGACGCTGACAGTAACGATGGGGCTGACGATGACAGAACTCTCATGGCTGGCAGCGATAAGGGTGGAGGTGACCATAGCCTCAAAGTTTTGAGTGGTCAGGACTCCTTGACAGATGCAGGTGGGCCAAGGATAAGTGTTAGTTGTAAGGGAAGCTAAAATATATGTTTTGTTTTCCTGCCTTGAGATGTACTGGATATCATCATCATCATGTTGTATCGGTTTACAGCACCTAGGTCTCGCAGTCAAGTCCTGCATTCCATTATATCTTGTACAGTCCTCTTGATATATCATGGATGGAATTCATTTCATCCCTTCCTTTTCTTTGAAGTCCCAGTGCGTCTGCCCACGACCGGCTCCAGCTGACGGGCCGTGCTGCTGACGTCACTGGGTCAGGCTAACGATGCGTTAACGCAGCAGTTCTAAAACAAGAAATAAACTGTTTTCGACAGAAGCGAGGGAAGACATCTTAAACTTTAACTTTTAAGTATCTACATGTCTTCTTTGATAATTTCAAAATTTTTAGCCGACTTTTCTTGATTATTGATGCAGCACCCCTGGCATATGCTCACGGCACACCAGGGTGCATCGGCACCCAGTTTGAGAACCACTACGTTAACGCAGCGAATTTGCACCAAAACTCAAGTTCTGGAGCAAGACAAAGGTCCAGAGGTGGTCGAACAACCATGAACTTTTTTGCCAGAGTATGCAGCTGACATTCTTTGTAATGTCGGGGTGCCGGGTTCGATCCCTGCTGCGAACGGTTTGTCTTGCGATGGTTTCAACTGAGGTACCGAAAGCCGACCGTCCAGAAAGCAGTGGCAAACTACTGGGTGTAAATTTGCCTAGGAAAAACTACAACAGCCAGAAAGTGCTAGGCTGGTTCTGCAGCGTCCTGTAAAGGATACACAACTAATTAATTAATACAGCTGACAAATACTCAGAAGAAAAAGAGTCCAGTGCCATTGGCCTCTCTCTGCAGCCCGTGTCTCACGGTTTTTCTTCAGTCCAATTATTTCACGTTTCAGTGCCTATTTGTTGATTTTCTCTGTATTCCTCCTCATGATGTGCCAATATATTGCTCTCTTCTTCTTGCAAAGCAGTAGTCCAGACACTGGATGTAGCCTTGTAAAACACATTTCTTTAGACATGTGAGCGGAACAGACCAGGTCACCATTTTTTCACTTACACACTGGACACTGCAGACTCAGCAAGCACTCATATAGAATCGGTTTGTGCTAGACAGCTGTCTGCCAGTGTGTTCAATAGTTCATGCTGAACAGACCCCAGAACATCTGCAAGGTGGCCATTTTTTGGAGAAGCTGCGAAGCAGCATGTGGTCACACCCAGTTGACCCGACAACTAAGTTTTGGATAAACCTAGCTGACATTCCACTTTGAGGCTTACAGTGGATTAAGCACATGACCAGAAGACGCTCAAGAACAATAACAATGCTTTGAGAAATGAAGCGCATATAGTGCGAGTTTTGTGGTTTTATGGGCCAACTGGCATTCAGGGGGAGTCCATGTGGTGTAGTGGCTAGGCGGGCGCTCGCTCAAGAATCGAAGGGTTATGGTTTTTTCTTTTAACTTGGCTCCCAGGTCGACCCAGCCTTGAATGGGTACCAGTTGCAGTCCTGGGAAGTAAAGGTGGCCGGCGTGGTGCTGACCACATCACCCACCAAGTGCCGATTGGTAATATATATGCCTAGCCCTATGTGCCAAATACTCCTGAAGGTGTGGAATAGACGCCTTTACTTTATTTGCATTTAGGATGTGGTGGTCAGTATCACCGCCTTCATATCCAGAATATTTCCGGGTAGCCATTTTAGGTTGGGTCTGGAAGATCTGAGCCTGGAAGATCTGAGCCTGGAAAATCTGAGCCTGGAAAATCTGAGCCTGGAAGATCTGAGCCTGGAAGATCTGTTGATTTGAGCCTTGAGATTCAGGGGTGCTGAAGCACGCTTGGTGGTGCACCGGGACTGCTAAGGCACAGACTGGTCAAGACCTATCTACACTTCTCCGTTGTCATCCTAGAAGCAGTATTGATTTTTTTTAGAAGTCGGAATGCATCTGCCTGAGAAGCAGAGAACCAACAGTCTGCACACAAATAAGCCAGATCTAAAAAAAACGGATGTCCACGCAACACTGGAACAAAGCCAAAAGTCCAGAATTGGACGAACAACCAGGACTTTTTTCATTGGAGTTTACAGCAAATGAATGCAGAGAATATTTGAGCACATGTGTGTGCATGCGCATATGTGTGTGTGTATGTATATCTGTTTGCATATACCACCAACGGTTTGTCTTGTGTTGGTTTTGACATTGGTACTGAAAGCGCAGTGGCAAACTTTCCCTTAAAAGCCACAGCCAGAAAATGCAGGGGATAGTTCTAAAACATCCTGTAAAGGATACACAACTAACTTAATTTAATTAATGTTGTTATTGTCGATCCAGCGGCGCATGAGCTTTCACCCTCTGGCCCAATGGCATGTAGTGGAATTTACATGTTTTCACAGGCTGTTCTTTTCCTCCGTACAAGGTGTTCCACTTGTCTGATCTCGGAGGGAGTAGCATTCTTCTAGTCTTAATATATACATATACTTATCTATATAAGAACTTTGGTACTCGTTGCAAAAATGCATAGTAGTGAGTACGTGTGGTGGGTGATTTTGTGTATGTATGTGTGTGTGTATATATATATATATATATTATTTGCGTGAAAAAAATTAATTTATTTGTCATTGTGACAAGAAAACTTTTGAGTTTGCTCCCTGTGGCTGTGTCTGAGAAATCCTTTTTTTCATTGACATGGGAACCACCATGAAGCAGTAACCAGCAGGCTTGCCTGTCTGTTCAATGGTCGCGTGCTTCATCCCTCTACATAAAAAAACAACAACAGGCCAGGACACATAATTTACTCTGCTGCTTCTTCTCTCCCTCTATTTGTCTCAAACAGAAATTCAAATTATTATAACAGTGCGTTACTTTTTAACATTTTAAAAAAGGTAATTAAAAAAAATACATTTTTGTAGGGCAAAGGGTTACAGATTTGATTATTTTGGCATTTTCAGAAACCTTACTACAGACTAATGGAAAGAGCAGCGTGCAACCCGTTGATACCAAGAAGAATGAAGGCAAAGTATGTGAACCAAACCAGTGCAATGTATCCTGTAATAAAGTAGACGATATTATCATGGATGAGAATGGTGACGAACCTGCCCAGCTGAACACATCTTCAAGTTCTGAAAGTCAGGCTGCAGCAATAGCCCGACTGAACGTTACCGATGATAACATCCTCAACAGCAGTCATTCTCCAGCACTTGTTGCCAACAGCGACTCCTTGGCATCTAGCTCCAACTGCTCCACTTCCAACAACAACTGCCCAGAGTCCAGCAACATGAACAACGTGGCAACAGTTAATGCTGTCCCCAGCCTCCCTACCACAGTCCCTCTGTGTAATGGACATGCTGCACAGTTCTCCCGTGGTTCTGCTGGTATTGAGGCGGAGTCTTCAGTGCCCGGCTGTGACAGAGAGCAGGGGGTGAGCGGCCGGGGTAAAGACGCTGCTGAGGCTCCGGTGAATGTGTGTTGTATGAGCAATGCTGTCAGTGGTGCCGGAGAGTCTCTAGTACATGACATTGAGTTGAGTGAGCTGGGCAGTTCTAGCCATCTGAATAGTAATTCATTAAAGTCATTCGAGGGGGATATGGAAGACATACAGATGGAGGCAGCCTCTGATAAAAGTAAGTATTTCTTTATAAAATTATGCAGCCTATGATTGAAGGATTTCATTTAAGGCTCAACTACCACATGCATAAAATAAAGATTGTAGTCCCCACAGTGTGCCTGTCAAAGAGGACCACAAACACCTGAGCACATTCTGCAGATCTGCCCACTCTACCTACAACTTTGAAGACTCCAGGCCTCAAGAGCAAAATGTGCAGAGCAAGCTATGGGGAACCATGAAGGACCTGCAACTGACATGCGAGTTTATAGAGGCAACCCACCTGATGGTCTGGTCTGAGCATATGAAACCGAACGCAAATAGAAGATAAAAAATTACGCATCCTCTGATAAAAAGTATTTCTTTCTTCTTTTTTTTTTTAAAAACAATGAAGCCTGTAATAAAAGTTAGTATTTCTTTATAAAAGTATGCAGCCTTTGATTGAAGGATTTCATTTAAAAATTACGCAGCCTCTGATAAAAATAATTTTGTTTAAACTACAAAACCTCTAATAAAAGTAAGCATTTCTTAAAAATTCTGCAGCCTCTGATAAAAGTAAGCATTTCTTTTAAAAATTACACAGCCTGGGATAAAAGTGAGGGCTGTATTTCCCCAGTTATGGGACACAGTTATTTTCCCAAAAAATATAGGGTCTAAAAACAGTGTGCATCTTATACAGTGGCAGTGTATTATTGTTAATTTTCTTCTTCAAAATTTCTAGTCCAAAAATCACTGCACCTTATACACAGGAGGATGTTAAATACTTGGGTAAATGCAGTATTTACTAAACCCCCCCCCCCCCCCCCACCCCAATGTTAGGGCAATTTCACAGCATTGGGATCTGGTGCTAAACCTGAATTTGTGTGGATCATTTGGCATTTGATGGTCAGCAAAACACTGGCCAGAACATTTTCTGGTATCAATTTGAGGCTGGGTCAGCAGGGATGCTGAATAAAACCTGAGACCGTCGAGCCGACAGGCAAGCTTCTTGTAACCTTGGTTGCCTCATTTTAATAATCTCCTAATTTTACACTTTCTTCTTCTCCTTCTCCATTGTCTCTTTCTCCTCCTCCATCTCCTTCTCCTTGTCCTCATCCTTGTCCTCCTCCTCCTTCTTCCGCTGCTTCTCCTTTTTTCTCCTCCTCCTCTTTCTCCTGCTGCTTCTATTCAGTTGCATCGTCTGAATCAGATGTCAGTGATCATAGTCCTCTAATATTTCAATGAAATTGATATTGCTTATAGTGTTATTTGATTCCCAGCTGTTTAAACTTTACACGTATGTCTCTCTGTCTTTTTCTAGTACTATTGTTTCCCTGCCTTCTTCTTCTTCAATACTTCTGCCAGAAAACTTATATCAGGAGGCCGGTAACCATTATGAAAGCTATCGTGCAGTTCATATCCACTCGTGTACCATACAGTTTTGTCTTTATTGTGGTTGGAACAGGCCAGATTGCATCTCTTATGTCAGCATACAGTTGACAGTGTTGGAGCACATGCTCAGCATTATCGGGAGCCACACTGCACTGACAAGTCTCCATATTTCCTACACCCAAAAATTTGAACATATGTTGATGAAATCTGTTGTGCCCAGTCCTTAGTCTGAGTATAATACACTGTCCCTCTCTAGAGAGACGATGAAGTGAGTCTTGGGGAGAAAATCTGGTGTGTGTATCCAGCCACCTTTCTTGGATACTAGATTGTATTAATATTTTCGTCTCTTGATGGGTTAAGTCACTATTTGGTTGTACCATGTCACTGCCACTTCTGGCCAATCTGTCCGCTAATTTATTGCCTTTCAAGCCACAGTGACCTGGAATCCACTGCAGTTCAGATTGTTCTACTTCTTCTTCTTCGCGTTCACCAGCTGTACACTCTGGCGGAAAGTTCTGGTTGCTCGTCCACTACTGAACTGCAGTCTGCTTCAGAACCTGAGTGTTGCATAAATTTTACAGATCTCATTCTCTTGAATACAGACTGTTGGTTCCTTGCCTCTCCGGCAGATGTAAGCTCAAAGTAAGCTCCCCAATTAGTAGACTCTTACGACATGCTTTTGCTTGTTTTTCCCCACAATGGGAGCCCCAGAACCCACACAGGGGATTGTTCTACTGAAGAGCATAAGTGAATCAGCTGTTGCGTCAAGTCTACAGACTTAGTGTCTTTTGGGTTAACAATTGCTTGTAGAACTAACATAACATCAGTCAGAAAGACCACTCTGCTATATTTGCTGTGCTGTTGTCCATTTAGAAAAGAACATGCCGCCAAAAGTGCTTCTGTCTTTGCTCTGTAATTGGAGGAATATGAACCTGTTGGTACAGCCTGGTTGATTTTTAAACCATTTGGGCATTCTATGTATATTCCTCCTCTTCCGTCTCTTACTGCTGTCTTGGCTGAACCATCTGTGTACACTCGAATCCAACTCTGGTGTGGATAAAGTTTATTGATCTCTCCTTCTGTAGTTGATTTCATATCAGTGCTGCTCATTGATGATTTGGAGGAGATCCCTGTTACAGTGGTTCTGACTGTTTGCAGGCTATCACTGAGCCAAGGGGGGCAGTTGTCGTAAGGTTTCAGTGGAACATTTGGTATTATGGGAGGGAGTATACAATGATTTTTTTCCCCAGTTCTCTTTTTCATGTGTTTGTCCTTGTTATCTACATTTCTACTTTGTTGACGTCTTTTATTTATTCCACACAATATTGTCTCATTAATTTTATTACCATCGCTATGGTGTAAATGTCTAGACATGGACATTGTCTTCAGAAGACAGAAGGAAAATAGTCACGACAGAAATGAAATGTTCACAGGCTATGCTAGGTGTGATGAGGAATGATCCACTTAGGAACGAAGATATCAGGAGGAGAGTCGGCACAAAACCAATACTGAACCTTGTTGGCAGACAACAAATCAGTGGTACTAAGCAAACAGAAGGGCCGTTCCATAGAACTCTTCCTGCCCTGACGCTGCAAGGCTTTCCAGGAGTAGAGAGAAGAATAATAATAATGTTGTCCATTACACTATAGTATGGACAGCTCAGGTCGATACATGTTAAGATCGGGGATGACATTTTTTTCTCCATAGCACATCTGGATAATATTGTAGAAACCATGTGTTGCCTATACAGCATGATCCCTTTCCCTGCTTTGCTGAATCCAGAGAACAGGTAACATTAATACCTTTGGAACGAAGCATGCTGCAGAAGCTACCAGATCAGAAAAGCAATGCTCTGCCTGTTCGCCTGTCAGAGCTTCCCTCCTAGACCAGCTGCCTATCTAGGTTAAGGGCCTGGTCTGCCCTGCGGTATCTTGAAGTTTTCAGTTTGCATTTTCTTGTCTTTGGACATGTGTACTACTGTTCTGCCACTTATCTTGTTTCTGACACACTTTTAAGATATTTGTATTTTGCTTGCACAGATCATACCCCGGTTAGTCACAAACCAGACCCAATCCATGAAATCTGTGATGTGTTTCCGGTCAAGATAGCAGATTTGGGCAATGCCTGCTGGACTGTGAGTACTGTTTGCTGTCATAGAACAATTGGAAGCTTGTACTGTTTATGAGTATGTGGAACATGGAACATTTGAAAGCTGGGAAAGGGGGGGGGGGGGGGGGGGGGGGTAATTGGTCAGACATTTGAAAGCTTGAGCAAATAAGAGGTGTATCAATACTAATAAATCCTTGTGTATGTTCTTAGACTCATTTAGGCAGACAAAGGAATAGACCCACTTCCTCCCCCTCCCCTTTTCCCCAACAAGCATGTCATACAAGGCAGCTAATCAGGAGTGTTTCTTCAAAGTTGGAAAGCATCTGCCTGAGAGGCAAGGAACCAACAGCCTGCATATAAATAAGCCAGATCTGTGAAGCAGATGTGCACGCAAAACTCAACTTTTGAAAAAGGACCAAAGTCCAGAAGTAGACGAACAGCCGAAACTTTCTGCCAGAGTTCACAGCCAGTGAATGCAAAGAAGCAGAAAAATAAGAATATAAAGAAAGGCAACGTCAAAACGGTACTGCTGTATGGAGTAAAACATGAATGGCTAAAAATGTAAACTAAGATCAGTATACAGTACCACAAGGTTGCCAATGATATCTATAAATCTTCTTCAGATCTGGCTTATGTATGTGCAGACTGTTGGTTCCTTGCCTCTCATTCAAAGGCACCCTGGGCACTGGATCTGTTCTATTTTTGTCCCCCATAATGGAGCCATGGAACCCGCAAAAGGAATAATTTTGTGTGTTTCTAAAGTACAGTTCCACAAGTTTGCAGTTGGTGTCCATATAAATAATACATTTAACATACAGTACTGCAAATAATGATAATATCCAGAACATAATTTGTTTTTTCTTCAATCCGCAGTATCACAAGTTTACCGATGATATCCAGACGCGACAGTACCGTTGCCTTGAAGTGTTGCTGGGAGCAGGGTATGACACTCCGGCTGACATCTGGAGTACTGCCTGCATGGTGAGTTGTGTCCCCCATTGAAGAATCAGTTCAGTTTGCAACAGTGAGTTGGGGCGGCAATGGACACTCTTACACTCAGAGCATACTTAACATTGAATGGGCATCATTGACTTCATTTGTGTTTGGGATACACCAAATCAAACTTCAGAGCATGTCTTACAGGATTTCCCACACTCAGTCAGAGAGACAAGAATGCAGATTTAGATAATCTGTTACAGGCGAACGAAAGAAGAAGAAGAGAAAGAAGTTATAGAGAAGAAATCATACTGTAATAGATGTGTAGCAAATGTTAGTCACTGACAGTAAAGCAAGTAAAGGTCCCGTTTCCAAGCTATTAGGCATATAGGGCTAGACCTGTATTTTTTTAGACCAGTCAGCACAAGATGGTCAGTATCACGCCGGCCGCCTTTACTTCCTGGGGCTGCACCCATTACCCGCTCAAGGCTGGTTTCAACCTAGGAGTAAAAAAAATATAAAAGTCTGGCTCTACCAGAGAACAATCCCACAACCCTCCGATCCGCACGCGAGCGTCTAGCGGCTGCGCCACTGCGACTTCCTCACTGAAAGTAAAGAAAAGGAAAAGAGGCAGTCACCATTTTCTGTCACCCCGAAAAAAAAAAACCTGGCGACTATTGTGACAAATGGAACAAGAGGTGGGGAAGATAATGAGCGAAAATTATAAAATTTTTTTTTTTTTTATGGCACAGAAAGATGTCAGTATATGATTGACACATATGATTAATTTATGCTGTTAGAGATTACAAGGTTTAGAAAAGTATCATTGTCAGCTGGGCTGCCACTTGATAATGATGCTGAACAAAATTAGGTTACAAATGTTCAAAAGGTAATTTCTCAAAACATAATATAGGTCTATCAGTGTCTATCAGTGTACACGTGTTTGGGTTGGGTTTTGCTCGTCATCAAAACAGTGGCAAAACCAGATTTGTAAAAAAATATTCAATTGCTTGTCCTGCGATGGAGCTACGGTAGATGCTAGCACGCTAGCCTGAAGGTCTAGAGTTGAAATCCACTTTAAGTTAGATTTTTCAACACCTTATAAATATTTGGATAAGGGAATTATTGTGTTGTTTAATTTTTATTAAAAAAAATAATAAAGAATATGTTTGTAAAATTGCAAAAATTATATAGTCCTCTTATTAACAAAACAATTGCATTAAAAATAAAAAATAATTGCATTTGTGTGAGGGGGAGGGGGGGGGGGGGGGAATTTCTTTTAAAGGACCTTTCAGATTGTGAGGCCCCAAGCATTTAGCTTAGCTAGCTTCTAGGTAAGTCCAGCTTTGATTGTATACTCATGTACCATAGGCATAAAAAGGGTTCTTACTTAAAAGAAAACATCCTTTTTATTGATGATCCGTTTTGTAAGTGTACTATTTGCTTGTCGTTTCTTTATTCACAGGCATTTGAGTTGGCCACTGGTGACTATTTATTTGAGCCCCACAGTGGGGAAGACTACACTCGAGACGAAGATCACTTAGCACATATCATTGAACTAATCGGGCCCATCCCACGACATATAGCACTGAGTGGAAAATATTCCAGGGAGTTCTTCAACAGGAGAGGTGAGTACAGCTGCTGAGATAGTCACTTTTGTTTTGTTTTGTCAGGAAAGCATTTATTGAATAGGTAATTTCCATCTGCCACACTGCAACTGTCATATCACTGTCAAAAAAAGACCATAAGAACATTGTTTGTTTTCTAAACTGCCTGTAGCTGAAAAAGAACCCTCGAATAATTAATGATGAAGTCATTAAGTAAGTCATAAATGGTTAGGGAATGGCAGACAATGTAATTGGTGGTTTCTGAAGATGTCACTAGATGACAAGATGTCATTAGATGACAAGATGTCATTAGGTGACAGCTATATCAAACTTTATGTCTCCGTTTTTTTAAATGGTGCTCGGTGTTGCTTTTGCAAGTTAGTTGCGTATCCTTTACAGGACATTGCAGAACCAACCCCAACAGCCCCTGGCTGTTGTGTGGTTTCTCTAGGCAAGTTACATCCAGTAGTTTGCCATTGATTTCTGGACGGTCGACTTTCTTGATACCACTGTCGAAACCAACGCAAGGCGCATTGCCCGCAGCTGGGATCGAACCTTGCAATCCGGCATTACGAAGCGAAGCATCCGCATCGACTTAGCCACAGAGCCGACGCTTTTGCAAGACAGGAACAAAATGGCAACTGTGCTTACGGAGTGTGCCCTCAATGAACAATGTGCAGTTGTGCGGTTTATTGGGGGTGGGGGCAAAAGGACTGCCTCTGAAGGACATTCATAAAGGAATGCTTCCTGTTTGTTCTACATTATCCCGTAAAGCGGTGCATAGCTGGGTACACAAAATTTTCAAGCGAGAAGTTCAATATATGGAAGTGAGATTAAACAGTCATGAGCAGGATGTGACGATTCCTTGGGTGAGCCCATTTATAGAGCATCATGTGTTAGCTCTGCATTTGTAAAAGCCTCCTTGGATGGCGGGGAATGCTTATGTTCTGCCCCTCCTGCCTTCTCTTGAGGGCTGGCCAGCATTACGTGGCTTCTCTGGACCAGCCTGAAATGGGGCACCACCTGTAACCTGGGAAACAAAGATGACCACACAACAATGAGACCACAGTGTCCCACAAATCTGACCAGGAAGGCTAACCCGGTCAACAAATGTCTGCAGAAGTCAGATGTGTCTGCCAAAAGGAACGAATATCACAGCCATGCTGTAAACAGGCACAGCACAGTTACATCTTCAGATGAGCACAGAAGAAAAAAAAAGAAGAAGCCTTTTGGACGGCATAATTTATGTGTAGTTTTAGCGGTCGCATTGTGATGGTGTCACAAATGTTGTTTTTAGACCTAAGGGAATGTCTTTCATTAAATTCTCCATTTTTTTTGTTTGACTACTTCCTTTAATATTGTTCTAAAACAGTCTTAAAAAATGTGTAAAAATAAATTTTAAAAAAATGTATATCAGTCATCTGTGATAAATAGCTATTATTAAAGTTTTATCCCGCGTGGGTTCCGGGGCAACACGAATAGACCCACTGCCTGCCCACAAGCATGTTGTAAAAGTCAACTAATTGGGAGCTTCTTTCGAAGTCGGAGTGCATCTGCCTGAGAAGCAAGGAACCAACAGTCTGCACACAAATATGTCAGATCTGTCTAACAGATGCACACGCAACACTCAGGTTCTGGAATAGGGCTGCAGTCCAGAAGTGGACAAACAACCAAAACTTTCCACCAGAGTTTACAGCTGGTGAACGCAGAGAAGAAGAAAATTAAAGTTTGTTTCTTTTATTTAGGTGGGGGATTTCCAGGTTCATAGCCAGCTCAAGGGTTAATGCCGGTTTTGTTTATCACCTATAATCTGCTAAAGATGGCTCAAACATTTATGTTTCACCTTATTTTGCCTGCCACATTTATTGGTAACTTGCCAAGTCACTAACTGTATAAGATAACCATGTGATTGCCATGGAAGTAACAGATGATTGCCGTGATCTTTTTGTTTACATAAACAACCTCTGCAAATTTGGATAACCACCTATTGAGTGGGTGATAAATAACTTGAAAGAAAAGTGTGGTAGTGCACCAGACGAGGTACACTGAAATATACTGGCAGTAAATTGTGCTCACATTTAAATTCGCAATAGGAAACATTGATGCAAAATGACACCTTATTTTGACCACTTTCAAACACTCCGCAGGTGAGCTGAGACACATTAGCAAGCTGAAGCCGTGGAGTCTGGTCGACGTCCTTACTGAGAAGTACGAGTGGTCCGAGAAGGATGCCCAGGAGTTCTGCGACTTCCTGGTTCCAATGCTCGTCTTTGACCCCAGCGAAAGAGCTACTGCATCAGAATGCTTAAAGCATCCATGGCTACAAGGTGTATGACAGACTCAGTGACTAGTATGTTGTCAGTACGTCTGGTTTATTCCTAGATCTGAAATGTTCAGGCTACCCTTGTTATTCAGTCTTAATTCTTAAAGGTTAGGAGTCAGTATGTCTGCTGGTTTATTTTTTTGTTCTGAAATGTCTGTATTATATTTTGTTTCTAGTCTTAATTCTTTAAGTTAGGTGGTCAGGATGTCTGGTTTATCTTTGGACCCGAAAATAGTATTGTCCATGTTGTCTTTATTCTTTAATTTGTAATTTCAACAGTTGGGAGTCAGCATGTCTGATTTAGTCACTGATCTGGTATAGCAGTATTACCTTTTTCTGTAGTCTTAATTCTTAAAGGTCAAGTGTCAGCATGCCTGATTTATTGTTATGTGAAATGTCCACGCTATCTGTATTCTTTACGTCTTCATTCTTAAAGTTGGTATGTCTGATTTATTCTCTATTCAGTTCTATTCAATTCTATTCAACATTTATTCTCTATAAATCTGAAATGTTGTGTCTGGTTTATTCTTTGATCTCAAAAGTCTGTGCTACCTTTATTCTTCAGTCTAATTTTAAAAGTCAGACAGTCTGGATTATTCATTGATCTGAAACACCCATGCTGTCTTTATTAGTCAGTCTTATTCTTAAAACTCTTATTTCATCAGATTTATTCTTTATCTTAAAATATGAAATGTTCATGCTGCCATTACTCCTGAGTCTCATTTTCACAAGACAGAAGCCAGGGTGGGAGATTTATTCTTTGATCTCAAAATCTGAAATGTGCCTGCTGCCTTTTTCCCTACTGCCTTTATTCATCAGTCTCTTTTTTTTTAAAGTCAGGATTTGCTATGTCCAGTTTATTCTTCTTTCCTCTACTCCTGGAATGATAAAGTACTTTTCAGTGTCTCTGATATTTCTGCGGTCCATCTTCTGCGCTGTCGACCTCTGGCTCTGTTACCGATGTATCTGAATAACATTGCTCTCCGTGGTGCCCTGTCTGATGTCAGTCTTGTTAATGGTTAAACCACTTGATTTGTTGACTACCTATAAAGTTTAATTTTCGTTCTGTGCCGACTCTTCTCCTTGATATCATTGTTCCTAAGTCGATCTTTCCTTGTTACACCTAGCATAGTTCGTAAACATGTCATTTCTGTCGACCTCTGGCTCTGTTACCGATGTATCTGAATAACATTGCTCTCCGTGGTGCCCTGTCTGATGTCAGTCTTGTTAATGGTTAAACCACTTGATTTGTTGACTACCTATAAAGTTTAATTTTCGTTCTGTGCCGACTCTTCTCCTTGATATCATTGTTCCTAAGTCGATCTTTCCTTGTTACACCTAGCATAGTTCGTAAACATGTCATTTCTGTCGTGACTATTTACCTTCTGTCTTTAGTTAATTCTGTTGTCTGAAATGTCCATATTTTCATAATTCTTCAGTTTTAATTCTCAAAGCTGGTGAGTCAGTTTGCCTTGCTTATTCATGGATCTGACACGTCTGAAATGTATCTGCTGCGGCTCTCCTTCTGTCTAAACACTTGAAGATGGTGAATCAGTAAGTCCGGCTTATTATTATCTTTGAAGTCCATTTTCCCCTTTAATCTTAATTCGTATTTGGGAGTCAGTCTTCCAGGACTGATACTTCTTAGCATTTATAGCAGGAAAAACTATTTGTGGCTGGTAGCCTTAACCAGTTTGTTTCATTTTATCCTGGTTGTAAGTTGAGATTTTCCTTTCTGATCCATGTATAATTCAGTTTAAATATTTGAGGAACTAACTTATCCTTAAGTCTGTGACATCATGATCCTTATATGTCATTTTGAGCAGCTATTTTAAAGGGGAAAAAAACAAGGCTAAGTTAGATCACATCTTTTGCTATCTTTTATTAAATAAATAATACAAGGTTCACAACATTGAGAAACATTAGTTTTTCTGTTAGTTAGTGATAGGATAGCTGTGTAAGATTGTGAGGGGAAAATATCTGTGTGTGTGTGTTTGTGCAGTAGCAAGAATAACATGTGTGCCTGAAGGTTGATACTTCCTGTCAATGACACAGTTTAGGAAACAAAATAATGAATGCTCCCTATACCAGCAGCTGAAAAACATTCACTTATTTTTTTTTTTCCACGGAATGATAGGAAAACAAAGTTTTTCTTCGAAACATATTTATAAACTTGTTATTAGAGTATGTTGAATTAAGAATCGACATCATAGCACATAAGCGCTTCGTCCCCATCTTCAGCAGCAAGTAAAGAGTTCCAGTTCTGATGGTACCAGTAACTTATTTAGAGAAATTAGATATAAACAGATGGTGTATTTCAGACACATAAAAAGCATAGACTTGAGAACTTATTTGCTGTGTTCCTGTGCCAGTGAAAACTATACAGAATGTCCATTACTGTCCCTTGTGAGAAACAAAAATGACACAGACTTAGAAACAGTGACACAGGCTGCAGACGAGCAGTTACATGAGTAGCATTACAGCAGAGGTTCACAACCTGTGAGTCGCGACCCCTTTGGGGGAGTCTAACGACCCTTTTCATTCACAGGGGTCACCTAAGACCATAGAAAAAGACATATTCACTGGAGTTGTGGAGAAGCAACGAAAATACTGTTATGGTTGGGGGTCACCACAACATGAGGAACTGTATTAAAGGGTCACCACAACATGAGGAACTGTATTAAAGGGTTGCAGCATTAGGAAGTTTATGAGAACCACTGTATTACAGCCTACGCTGGTGATGTAACTGGCAGCAGAGAATGTTCTAGGTTGAATGTATTTGATTCATAAAAGTTATTTAGAGCTTGGAGAATACTGAATGTTGAATTAAGAATCGACATCACAGCACTCGGGGCACTCCCATAAGCGCTCTGTCCCCATCTTCAGCATGGAGAATATTTGGCACTGAAGAAGATCTCAGCAGGCTTATTGAACAGCCAGACAGTGGTTACTTTAACACTGCCCATCCCAAAGTCTGAATGCTTTAGTGTGTCAATTTATGAGTCTTAATAAGTTAAAATTATACAGATAGGGGCAGACAGAGTTAAAGTAACAACAGGGATCATTTGGGTTAAAGACCAGCTGTAAACTCTAGCGGCAAGTTCTGGGTGTTCGTCCGCCTACGAACTTGTTCCAGAACCAAAGTGTTGCGTACACATCCGTGCCTCAGATCAGGCTAATTTGTATGCAGACTTTTAGTACCTTGCCTCTTAGACAGAGGTACTCCGGCTTCGAAGGGTGCTTCCCAATTTCTCTATTCCTACCACATGCTTGTTAGGGAAACAGTGGGTTTGTTCTTGCCCCACCACCACCACCACCACAGTGGGGCTCGGAACCCCCACGAGAATTATTGTATTTGATTTATAAGAAATTACTTAGAGCCTGGAGAATATTTGACACTGAAGAAAATGTCAACAGGCTTGTTCAGTTCCTTCAGTGCCAGGGAATAGTGTCTTCAACACTGCCCATCCCAAAGTCTGTATTAATTTTTGAGTCTTAATAAGTTAAAATAAAACATGTAGGGAGCAGGAGGAGTTAAAGTAACAACAGGGATCAGCTGGCTGCGAGTTAAATAGGAATGGAACGAGACAGTGAAGAAGTGTTAGACATGTGTAGAATAATGAATAAGCGTATGGTGAGTGGATTAGTACTGAAAAAGTTAGTTGAGATCAGGTGGTTCTTCTGTTAGTCCATGCTGTGCTGTTTGTTTTTCCGGTCTTTTCTCTTGTATATTGTCAGTCATTTCGATTGCAAAACATTCTTCACTGTCACGGTGCCAGACCGTCCTCTTTTTAAATCTTCCATTGTGTTTCCTTCCATCTAGCTTTCCTGCTGTCACTCCAACTTTCCCTTCCCAGTGATCATGTTTGGCTTCTGCTGATGTGGGTTGAATGGAGATGTGGTTTAATAATTCGGAATTTGAGTTCATTTCATTAAGAGCTTCAGTTCAGAGTGTCTGATGGTCATTGGGAACTATGCTGAGAGTTCAGAGTTTTCAGCAGTCATTTCCTCATGTAGATTATGAGGCCCTTTTTTTTAGGGGTAAAAAAATAGACCCCAGCTGTGAGTTTAAAATCAAATGTTGGACCATAAAGCGCAAATATCAGAGCCTTGCTGTAAACCACAGCAGAACATGCCAACCACCTAATTTAAGGTTGTACACAGAAGATGCAGTAGTAGCCAGTGAAGGCTTAGTAAATTTAAGTGAACTGAAAGGTGAGGAAAGATGCTGGTATTGGATAGGAGACACATTAAGAAGTGCTTCATTCTTCCGAAGAAGCTTAGAAAAGTACACAGGCTCTGTAGCACCGGCAAGGATACTGAAATACTTGAGTAGATTTTAAACTCAAAATTTTGCCTGGGAAGCGCCAATAGGCTACTCTTTTCGATTGCCAAGTGTTTTTTTTTTTTTTCGTGCGCTACAGTGCACACGGGCTTCCAATTTAACTACCCAGAGACCAGGCAGAATTACTAGAATTGCAAGCCCACGTGACAAAAAAATCGTAGCTCTTACCCGGGATTGAACCCGAAACCTCTAGCGCTTGAGGTAGACACAATGCCTCGAGACCATGCAGCCCCATGTTTAGGAGAAAAAATATGTACCTATGTGAGAGGAAAACTGTTTGAGGAGAATACATGTGTATGTGTTGTTTAGGAGACAAAATTTGTACCTATGTCAGAAGAATACTTTATTTGCTTAAGGAGAATACGTGTGTATTTCTTTAGGTGATCAAATGTGTACCTGTGTGAGAGGAAAACTGTATATGTTGTTGTGTATTTGCTTAAGGAGAATACGTGATCAAATGTGTACCTGTGTGAGAGGAAAACTGTATATGTTGTTGTGTATTTGCTTAAGGAGAATACGTGATCAAATGTGTACCTGTGTGAGAGGAAAACTGTATATGTTGTTGTGTATTTGCTTAAGGAGAATACGTGATCAAATGTGTACCTGTGTGAGAGGAAAACTGTATATGTTGTTGCGTATTGGTTTAAGGAGACGAGTGTTCTTTTGT